GGGCAAGGAGAGGTGGGGGATTGGGTGGAAAGGGGGGCGAGGTGGGGGGCTGTCCCCAGTGTTGGTGCGAGCGTGTGGATCGTGCTCGGTGTGTGTGTTCGTGCGGCATGGGCTGGCACGGCTATCAGCAGGAACTATTTGCGAGCGATGTTATCAGGTGGAGCCCCCCCCCCCCGCCCTGGCGCGGGGGCTGCCGTGTTATCCAGCGAGGCAGCGTCCCACCCCTTCTGGCGAGGCCGATACGCCCACCCGCCCCCCCCCAACCCCGTTCCAAAAAATCTTGCGGGGAGCCGACATGAGGCCTCTGCCGGTTGTTACCGAGGGGGCGAACGGGATGGGGGTGGGGGGGGAAGAGCTTGTTTTGGCCGATAAGCCGCAGCTTGTTTTGTGATTTTTTTTTAGTTTGCGCGGAGTTCGCAGGGCCCGTGGTCACGTTGCGGAACGGCTGCGCCGGGCGACTCTTACTCGTTCGTGGCGGGCGCTGTTCGTGACGCGTCTGGGTCCGTGTCTCGGCCACCGGAGGAACGCGCGAGAGCACGGGAGGAGGGGGGGGGGCATGTGATTGTCGTACGCTGAGATCGCACTCTGAATAATTCTGAATAATTCGTTTAGACTCTTCGGAAATGACGAACGCGGGCGGTCCCCGACTTGCGAACGGGTTCCGTTGACCGAGGCCCGTTCGTATTGAAATGCGCATGCGGTCAAGTGTGATGAATCGTGTTATGGTACGACAAAATTGGAAAGTGTTGTTAAACTCTAAGCAAGACGAACTATTGTACATCTGCACATTTGCCAGGATGATTAAAAATAAACATCTCATAAAAGCTCGGTCGTAGGTGCGGAAGTTCATAAGTCGGGGACTGCCCCACATTTAAGTGTTCGCGGGATCATCTCATTCCTGCGAATATGAACCGCTTAACACGTAGCTGGCTATCGCAACTAAAATCATCCATGAAAGGAGTTTTTTGTTTGTTATATCGCGTGATTTTAACCTGTCGTTAGACCCTCCACCACCCGACACGGCCAATTAGCAAGGTTTGTCACGTAAGCAAAACTGGCCAATTCGCTTCTTGTTCAGCACACGTGACTAAACCTTACTAAATTGGCTGTATCGGGCACGTGGCGGGTTTAACGATGCATGTATATCTCACGCGATCTAACCCAACAAAAACCTCTACCACGGATGCGAACCGCTCACGGGTTCTCGTGCACGGACAAACTGGGACGTGCCCTCGGCCCCACGGGTCAACAAACAGCGCGAAGCCCCACAGCACGGCGTTCTTCAGTTTCAGTTTCATTTAATTGGTATAGGCCTGTGAGCCATTCGGCTCTTGAATCGGGTGCAACCGCAACAAACAAAAACGTGAACAAGAAACATCTTAAAGTGACTACGCGCAAACAGAAAAATCCAGGAAAAAACAGCAAAGTCTTCCAGAAAAAGCACCGTATATCAACGCTGTGTGCAAAAAGTCCCAGTGGGATGCAAGTCAAACAATAACAACCATAAGACAATTTAGATTAAAGGTATCAGTCTAACTCTGTACTACAACAAACAAAAATGGCTAAACCAAAACGTTTTCGAAATCACCAAAATAAAACTATAAAAGCAATGTAACAGTGATCATAAGACCCGTGATTGAAATTTAACAAGAAACGATATATATAACATGTACTACCAAACTTTGCAGCCATAGCTGACTGCATGAGTCACTCCATAATAGCAGGAGTGGCAGTAGGAGTATCAACATTTTTCAATGCACCTTTAAAGATCAGCACACTTGATTACTGTGCCTTCGTGTATAAATCAGCCCCAAAGGAAGGGCCTTTGCTATTGATGCCCCCAGGGTCTGGAATGCTATTGCCAATAAATTGCAACTTGAATCACTACCTACAGTGAGGGAAAAAAGTATTTGATCCCCTGCTGATTTTGTACGTTTGCCCACTGACAAAGCAATGATCAGTCTATAATTGTAATGGTAGGTTTATTTGCCACCAAGTACTAAGTCATGTTTTGCAGAGGGGTCAAATACTTATTTCCCTCATTAAAATGCAAATCAATTTATAACATTTTTGGCATGCGTTTTTCTGGATTTTGTTGTTGTTATTCTGTCTCTCACTGTTAAAATAAACCTACCATTAAAATTATAGACTGATCATTTCTTTGTCAGTGGGCAAACGTACAAAATCAGCAGGGGATCAAATACTTTTTTCCCTCACTGTATGAGATCTTCACTCAAAACTGCTCTAGAGCAGATGTACACCCCTAGCTGCCACTGCTATTCAGTAGCCTAAAATAAAATAAAATGTTTCGCTCCGGATGACCGCTGCAAAGTATTATCTGTATTTTATTTAGTGTGCTGATCTTAAAGGTGCATTTAAAAATTTGATACTCCGACTGATGCTCCTGTTGTTGTGGAGTGACTCGTGCAGCCAGCTATGGCTCTAGGGTTTGGTGTTACATGTTGTTTATGTAGTTTATTGTGAAAATTCGGTCACAGTTCATATGATCACTGTTACATTGCTTTATGGCTTTATTTTGGTGATGTCAAAAACGTTTTTTGGTTTGGCCATGTTTGTTTGTTGTAGTACGGAGTTAGACTGATGGCCTTAATCTTAGTTGTCTTGTGGTTGTTGTTATTGTTTGACTTGCATCCCACTGGGATTTTTGCACACAGCGTTGGTGTATGGTGCTTTTTCAGGAATATGTTGCTGTTTTTTCCTGGATTTTCTGTTTGCACAGTCACATAGTCACTTTCAGATGTTTTCTTGTTCATGTTTTTGTTTTTTGTTTGTTGCGGTTGCACCCGATTCAAGAGCCGAATGGCTCACAGGGCTATACCAAAAAATTAAACTGAATGAAACTGAAAACACTATAATCAAAACACAAGATCATACTTTGCAGCGGTCATCCGGAGCGAAACATTTGATTTCAGGCCACTGAATAGCAGTGGCAGCTAGGGGTGCCCAACCACTCGGCCGCTCGTCTCCATTATTTTGACGACGGTTCCGACGCCGTCCGGATCGTGCCATCGGCACGGGCCACGAGGCGAGGCCGTGTCCCCGCTGAGAACTCTTGCACGACCCTTCGTGTTGGAGAACGGTCAGGAAGCGGATATCACAGAGCTATGTTTGAGAAGCCTTCCAAGTTCCCTCTTCTCACACACACACACAGACTCTACGCATATTATTAGGAAGCCACTGGTGCTGTGGACTTTGAAATCGAGATTGAAAACTTTATTGCTTTTGCACACCTCTGATTAGCACGTTTGGGTACGTGCGGTGCGAAAGATGTTCAACAGACATACAAATGTACGTACCAATAAAGACCCCCCGTATAGCCTGACCAAGCTGATGGGGCAAGTGCTGTTAGCGAGCACCTATAAAGGCCGGCACGGCATACAAGGGGTGGGTGGCCAACACCACGCCCGGCCGCCTTTGTCTCCCCAGTGGCGATGTTTATACACCGTGCTAGGTAACCATTTGAGGCCGAGTCGACCTAGGGGAGGCCCGTGACCGGTTCAGATAATCGTCACTGGTGTTGGCCGTGTCGCCAGGTTCGGGGCGCAGCGTAGAGCTAACCGCTGCACCACCGCTCCCCGCACTACTCATGGTCACATGCTCACAAACATACTGGGGAATGTTACATGCTCCTCAAGTGGGAGACAACGCCATCAAAGCTATTAACATTTCGCTTTTTTTTTCTCTCAGATAAATGTTAAATGATAATTGGGATGGCAAGCGGCTCACAGAGAACAGTTTGTATTAATAGCGCCGTTCCCGCTGACGCACTGCAGGTGCAATTGAAGCACAGTTCCCTCGCGGATTACTGCTTCTAAACACTGCTGCCGCTGCTTATTCGATTGCAGTTGACAACGGACGCTTATTTTGCTGTGCGACACAGGGAGAGAGAGAGAGGAGAGGGAGTGTGCAGGGCACATCTACCCTACGCGGTCAAAGTCTTTGCAGGCAGCCCCAAATTACAAACTGGAAACAATTGGACATCCTTGGCCATTACACGTATGTGCCACACGTATGTGCCACAAGTCACACTTATGCGCCATGCATACGCCACACATATGCGCCGCTACACGTATGCGCCACGTAAGCCCCACACGTATGCTTGCAACATATGCGCCACACGTATGTGACAGATATGTGCCACACGTATGCGCCGCACGTATGCGCCACACGTATGTGACACATATGTGCCACACGTATGTGACACATATGTGCCACACGTATGTGCCACGTATGTGCCACATATGTGCACACGTCACGCGTCACACGTTGGGCCCCGACCCATTAGCCGTCCACAGCCAAGTGCAATTTGAGCGTGCGCGTGGGGTGACCGTCGCTTGCAGAAGTTGCTCCTAAATCTGACCATTTCATGTTCAGCGAAGCATTCCCAATCTCGCATTACGTTCGCTCACTTCTGAAGTACGCCGAGTAGCACGTTACCGTGTTTAAAGCGGTTTGCGCTTTATTCTGTCCGGTAACCTATTTAGCGCGGTGCGACTGTCACCTCCTATGGGATGTGAACATTGTTCCCACCTCGGCTCTCCCAGCGGGTCGGACGCGCGACGTTCGCGCTTCTCTCGTTTTAATCGTCGTGCTAGTTTGCGATGGAATTATATAAATGTTGACACCTCGTCTCCTCTCGCGGGGGGGGGGGGGGTGATTAATATCTGCTCAAATGAGAGCCCACCTGCAGTTGCCTCTTTACCTCCTTGGCATTTCCCGAGCTCTAAATCCCCCTCCGATAGCCACCCCAGAACCCCCACCCCAGCGCTTTCTCCCCAGGCCCCCCACCCCCACCAGCGTCCCCCCGATGGGAACGTCACGCGCAGGAGACGGCCGCCCGGCACGCTCCACCCACCGGCGGAGGCTCACAGGAGGCCCCGTTTTATTTTGAATTATTGCAATTAAAAGCCTCTCTCTCTCTCCTTCTGCTTGCCGATTCATAATTCACGAGCTGAGCGCGGACGGGTTTCTGTGCGCAGGGGAGGGGGGCGATGCCGCCCACCTCGCCATGGCTCTGACAGCGGAGGCGTCCACGCAGACCCCGGACGTGCCCCACCACGCCGAAGACGCTCGGGTAAATGCTCGCGGGCACGGTCGTGGGGCGCGCTCGCGTCAAAAGTCGCCCGCCCGGTGGTAGCCACCGATCGCCATCGCAGCCACACTCTCTCTGTGTGCGCTCCTTGACCCGCTCTTGTCAGCCCGTCAGAACCCCCTCTGGAATTGAGTAGAAAGTGAATTCCACTCCGAGGGGAGTCGCTTCCAAACTGGGCTATGGATAGCTAGTCGACCGCAGAAAGTAAGACCGCGGCATTTTTAAAGCTCGCCAGGCCGACTTGGCACCACTTAGACCTGGGTTTGAATCCAGGCAGCCGTCTGTGATAAATTCGAGTTCTCCAGTGTAGCAAGTTGATGGTCTCAGCCCGACCAAACAATGACTGTAGAAACTAACTAGATAAAAAAATTCGTCATATTCAAATTTGGATCCGAAACTAATTGGGATAAATTCCACCACTGAGAATTAAAAATGTATCGGTTTGGCTGTCAGGTGACAAACATGACTCAGTGGCAGAGTGGGTCGGAAATTGCTGCCTTCTGCTGTGTGCACCAGAGGTCACTTGAAGGGATTTCAGAAGTAGGTCTGTGATATCCGCTTCTGTGGGCCATTATATAATACCGGGGTTTGCAACTGCTCTTTGAGATTTCCGGTGGCGTCTCCATCTCAAGATGTGACGCCAATTGCAAAAAAAAAAACTTAAGTAAAATTAAGGGGGGAAAGCACAATGTGTGAAAAAACAATGCGGAAATTCCAACAATGGCTTTAGGGAATCACTGCAAAGGAGAGCCACCTCGTGCTTGTTGGAGCAGGGAGACGCTCTGACTTTACATGCGCAAACTCAATCAAACTAGCCTACGAGGTGTTAGTACCGTCATATCAATTAAATACCGAGCTTTGCTCGAGCCAAACTACTGTATGCCCGTACGTCAACACATTCATCATTAACGCTACCATCACAATTAAAATAAACGTATTTATAACGGGTGACACTTTTTGTGCGCAGTGGCCCTTCCGGATGTGCCCATAAAGCGTAAACATAAAAGCGGTCTCGTCGCAAGACCAAACAAAATAACCATGCGCAATGACCATGTCACCTTGCGGGGTAATTCCCCACGTGTGAATATTTTTTCTACATGGTATTGTGCACAAAGGCAAAGATCTCCTCTCCCCCCCCCCCCCCCATGTTATCACACACGCTCGTTGGGGCAGTGCTGTTCTCGATCAGCGACGTGGCCGAGAACCTTTCCTGGCAACGATCGCCTTACCAGTGCCGGCGGTCACACACCGCAATGCCAGACGTGCAGTTAAGGCCGAGTCGACCTACAAGAGGCCCAGAAGAGGTTCAAATTTCACTTGCCGCTCGTGTTATTTTGCGGCCCGGAATAAAAACCCAGGTCACGGGAGTTCATAACGCAGCGCACAAACCACTATGCCACCTCTCTCTTTCCACCATATCATCGCATGCCTGCACACACACACGTGTGTGCGCTCAGACAAGATTCCCCCCCCCCCCGTATGACCTTCAACAGACTGTTGGGGTAAGCCCTGTTAATGAGTGGCTATGAAGGACGACACGGCACACGCCTTTGTCTCCCCAGTGGCGATGTTTACATACTGCACCGCATACTTATTTAGCGCTTTGTCGACCTCGGGGAGGGCCCAGGACCAGCTCAAATATTCGCCACTGTTATTGGTCACGAGCCGGAATTGAAAACGGGTCACCGGGTTCGTGGCGTACTGTGACACTTTTGCTTCCCATGCACACGCACGCTCGCAAACGCATACACACTCGACGTGTTTGAAGTTCTCAGATTGTGTCCCTGAGGACTGGAAGAAACATTTTCAACCAACACAGAAAAAACCGAGAAAAAATATAAATGCAGAGAGGGCCTTCGTGTCAACTTTTTTGAAAGACTTCTCTCTCCTCCTGACTTTCAAATACTGCAGCTTTTTGCAGCATCATTATTTTGGATTTATGTAAATATTTGCTTTGTTAAAAAAAGGCGTCTTCCCTGCACACAGGAGGTCTCGCGCAGCCAATTCGGCACCAGGGAGTTTAAGGAGGCGGCCACTCAGTACGATCCGGACGACCCGGGGCAGTGCCGCGCGTCGCCCCGCGGGCCCGGAGGAGGCTCCCCCAAGCCCGACGCCGAGAGCCGCTCCACGGCCGGCGAGTGCGGCTCTCGCAAGCGCAAGAGGCGTCCCAACAAGCTGGTCCATCGCAGCCCGGGCCCCGGCCAGGATGTCGTGGGCAGCCCTTGCGGTGAGCACAGCCGCTGCAAAGAAGACTCCTACAGCCCTTGCGACAGACCCGGCCACTCTTACGATGAACCCGGCCGCTCTGATGAACCCTGCCACTCCTCCGATGAACCCGGCCACTCCTCCGATGAACTTGGCCATTCCAATGAACTCAGCCACTCCAATGAACTCGGCTGCTCCAATGAACTCGGCCACTCCGATGAACTCGGCCATTCCGATGAACCCGGCCGCTCCTCCGATGAACCCGGCCACTCCTCCCATGAACCCGGCCACTCCTCCGAGGAACCCGGCCACTCCTCCGATGAACTTGGCCATTCCAATGAACTCAGCCACTCCAATGAACTCGGCCGCTCCGATGAACTCGGCCACTCCGATGAACTCAGCCACTCCAATGAACTCGGCCGCTCCGATGAACTCGGCCACTCCGATGAACTCAGCCGCTCCGATGAACTCGGCCGCTCCGATGAACTCGGCCACTCCGTTGAACTCGGCCACTCTGATGAACTCGGCCGCTCCGATGAACTCGGCCGCTCCGATGAACTCGGCCACTCCAATGAACTCGGCCACTCTGATGAACTCGGCCGCTCCGATGAACTCGGCCGCTCCGATGAACTCGGCCGCTCCGATGAACTCAGCCGCTCCGATGAACTCAGCTACTCCAATGAACCCAGCCCCTGCAACGGATCTGGTCTTTATGAAGTATCCGTTCCCTGCAACGGCTCTGGCCCTTACGATGTGTCCGGCTTCTACAACGGGTCCAGTCCTTGCGACGGGCCGCTGGAAAGCACGAGCGCCGGGCAGCCCCTCTCATGGGGGCCCCCGATCAACCCCCCCATGATCGACCTCCAGCAGATGATGCTCAACAGCTTCCACTTCGCCCAGGTGTGGGGCTACCGCAGGGAGGTGGCCGAGCGGCTGGGACGGCGCCCGAAGGTCGAGCGGAACGGGAGGCCCCCGGCCGCGGACAGACGCGCGCCCCCGACGGCCGCCGACGCGGCGAGAGCGGCGTCGCGCTCGGACGGGGAGGGCGAAACCCGCCTGCCGCCGCGGGGCGAGAAGTGGCCCCGGCGGAAGGGCCGGTCCGAGCCCTGCGAGCCGGCGCCCGTGGACCGCGTGGACGTGAGCGACCGCATCGACGACTCCCACTGCGTGGAGACGGCCGACGGGCAGCGGCGCTGGCAGTGCCGCCTCTGCGAGAAGTCCTACACCTCCAAGTACAACCTGGTCACGCACGTGCTTGGCCACAGCGGCGTCAAGCCGCACGCCTGCACCCAGTGCGGCAAGCTCTTCAAGCAGCTGAGCCACCTCAACACGCACCGGCTCACGCACGCCGGCGCGCGTCCCCACCGCTGCCACGTGTGTGGCCGTGCCTTCACGCAGACGAGCCACCTCAAGCGGCACCTCATGCAGCACAGCGCCGTGCGGCCTTACAACTGCGGCGTGTGCGGCCGCGGCTTCGCCTACCCCAGCGAGCTGCGCGCGCACCAGAGCCGGCACGTCGCGTCGGCGGCGTCGGCGGCGTCGGCGGCGGCGTCGGCGGCGGCCTCGGGCGGGGACGCGGGGCCCGCGCCCGGCTCGGAGCGCCGGTGCGCGGCGTGCGGGGTGGCCTTCGCGAGCGCCGCCCTGCTGCGGATGCACAAGGCCGCGGTGCACCAGCAGCACCGAGGCCGCGCGGTGCGCCACCACCACCACCACGGCGGTGGCATTCAGCACCACGGACAGCATGGAGCGCCGGCAGAGCCGCGCGACGGCTTCCCGTGCGGGGAGTGCGGGAAGACGTTTCAGTACCGCAGCCAGCTGCACAACCACGAGCTCAAGCACAAGGGGGAGCGGCCGCACATCTGCACCGAGTGCGGCATGGAGTTCGTGCAGTCCCACCACCTCAAGCAGCACATGCTCATCCACAAGGTGAGGTGGGCGGACGAGGTGAGGAGGTAGCACCAACGATCTCGCGTCATTCCTAACGCGCACTTCCCCAGGAAAGCCCCTGCTACACGGCCATCATCATCTTCGTCATCGATCAGCCGTCATCAATCCACTGCTGGATGGAGGCACAAGCCTTTTGCCATCTGTCGAGGTCCCTTCCCTTGTTCATGCCCTCCAACCAAGGTTGAAAGCAATAATGAATCAGCTCGGTCCGTTTGTAACGGGGAGCCGCGATATACCTTGTAAAGATGGTTAAATATAAATAATGTTTTAGAATGAGGTTGTGTTACTCTGTGGACCGTAACCTGAAGGAAACCACCCACACTGATGACAGGTTCGCACCACGTTGTGTGATGCCGTTGCTCGGCTCGGAAGGTGAGAGTTATCGTTAATTTAAACACTTCCGAGGACAAACGCGCGTTGCGAATCATTACAGAACCCGTGCATGTTCCGTCTCCCTCGTTATACGCAACTTTGAGTAAACTTTCATGCACATTTCGGGAAGCACGGAATATCACGAAGCGTGGCCATACAAAAAAAATGACCACGTTCCTACTAAAGGCGGTCACTAGAGCTGTGAAATCCCACGACACTGCCGCCCTTATTTTACAGACAGTATGGGGTAGACACATCTCGTGATTAAAATGTATAATTTGCATCGGTAGACAGCTGCGTGAGAGCGACTTCACTCATTAAAACACTGCCCCCGTCTGTAAATGAGAATATCACAAGACAAACCCGGTGAAGATTCACATTTGTATTCTCTATTATCTTTGTCATAAAAAAATACCTCACCGTGTTCACTTCCAGTTTTAAGTAATGTAACGTACAGCCATTTGTCAATCAAACTGCCGGATGCAAGCCTCCCGAGGCCGTGTTGGTCACATTAATTGTTTGACCATACTTCCCCACACACTGCTCAGTGTGGGTTTGGTGAGGGGGGGGAGGGGGACTGAGTTAGTTGTCACTCGCCACCGAACGTTCATTGTGGCTGGGTATCAAGGTGGACTTTGTCGGATTCACAGCGCAGCGCACGAATCACTGCGCCACCGCTCAACCTCCATTCGTTTTATTTCCCCCCCCCGTATATGTATATGTTATTTCCCACAAAGGGCATACGTGGTGGCTACGCGCGTGGCCTGTAACCCAGCACTGTGGAGGCAGTGAGGGGTTGGTGAACCACCGCATAAATGACGAATGTTGAGAAACTCTCTTCCCGTGGGGATCGAGGGGGCGCTCTTACCCTGAGATCACCGGCAGAATTCAGCACAGCAAAGTGTGGACTGATATAAGATGTCCCTTCTGTATGGGATACAGCGTTGCGCCCTCGCACGCGTCGATTTTCTCCAGGTGCTCCGGTTTTCTGCCACGTGTTTAAACACTCACGAGTTTTGCCGAAAACATCTTAATATGTAGGGAACTGCAGAACAATTGTTGGCACCGCCTCCTCGCCTGGCAGCCTTCCAGCTTGGTCTGTTTGTTCCTCCGCGATCGTCAGATACAATTTGCATGAACGATGCCATGTAGAACGATTCCTTCGATGTTTATTTCTACTCATGAAATATCATAAACGTTTGTGTTGGTTGGATGAAAAAAACGATTCCACACTCTGTACCGGAAAACACCTCGAGAGCTAGAAGTGAAGAAGTCGTTAAATCCCACGATCTACTTCGTATTGACATTAACGTGAAGCACGCAGGTTACGACAAGACTGACAGAGATCAGATATTAGCACTCGAAATGTATTGTTATAGAAGGAGGCTGCATCGAAACTGGACCCACAGAGTGTTCAAACGTAGAGGTAAGACAAAGGGTGCACGTTGAAGAAGACAACCTGATGATGCAGGCAGTGATGAGAATGAAACTGGCACGATTTGGACACATTGTATATGTAGGATGGACAACACCAGAAACATTTTAAGTGTGTTGTTGTTTCGATTTAAAGCTTTCGTGACTGCAAGGATTCATCTTATTTGGTTCTTTCGGTAAAGTCACGTAGAATGAGAATAAAATAATAAATTGATCAAATAAAATAACACAATAATATTCTCACGACGTTTCGGCCACAACACAAGCGGCCTTCATCAGGTGAAGGGACGAGACTGTCTGAAGGACAGCGCTGGAGTGTCCTTCAGACAGTCTCGTCCCTTCACCTGACAGCGCTGGAGTGTCCTTCAGACAGTCTCGTTCCTTCACCTGATGAAGGCCGCTTGTGTTGTGGCCGAAACGTCGTGAGAATATTATTGTGTTATTTTATTTTATCAATGTATTATTTTATTCTCATTCTACGTGACTTTACCGAAAGAACCAAAGAAGATGTGTTGTTGTTGTTGTTGTTCGGGGGGAAAATGTAAGGAACAGGAAAGAGAGGGAAACGTAACAGAGAATGAATGCCTTGACGACGACGACGACGACATCGTAAGAGATTGGTGCCAGAAAGTTGTGGCCACTCTTTGGGCATGTTGGCACGAGACGGAGGGAGGTGAAAACAGATGACAAAATGTGCAGTGGGCACCAACGGGCTATCTGCCCACGGATCGTGATGATTATGATGATGGCGATGACGGGTTATGACATTTTCAGATATTAGCTTGTACAATTCTTCACTGGAATACTTGCTGATGAGCCCAAATTATTCTATGAACACTTTTGTTCCTAACTCCCTCCCTGCCAGCTTCAACTTCTGCTTATAATAAATGTTTTATGCCATTGCAGTAAATTTTCTTCTCCGGTCGCGTGGAACTTCTTCTTTTCATCCAAGTTCCGTTTTCGGATTATTATTTAGCCTCTCTCGGCATTTTTCTCCCTCCAAAACAACCGTTCGTCCCTTGGGTTACCGAGGCAACTAATCCTGCTCAACTCAAAGGTCTGCAACTGCCAGTGGATAGGGTACGAATGAGTAAATGTCCTTTATTTTGTTTTTATCCTGGACGTATGGAGGCCACGCTTGCAGCGGTTCGCGCATTGCTCACTGAAACCAACAAGCCTAGTTAAACTCCTGGCGGCCGAGGCAATTTCAGGCACCGGTTACTTTTGCCGTTGCTGCCATTCCATCATCAGCAGTTGGCTTGGAGCACAGACGCCAACACCCTGGGACGTTCAGCTTCGCCTGCGTCGAACCGATGACACGTTGAGCAGTCCACCAGCACGGGATTGGCATTATTCCATGCGCCGCTTTGCATGCGCTGCGGGATCGTTTTTGTTCACATGCAGAGAAGGAAATGTGAGCATTTTACACGCTTCTGCAGTGCAGCCTGTGAAAGTTTACGAGGTTTTGTAGGTTTCCTTATGATGGCGCACACGTGCGGTGGTAAAAGTTCATAATCGCACCTGCCCAAATTCACACAATAAGGGATGTAATCATGGTCACAGGTTCCTCTGCGGCCGTCTCAGCTGCCCAGTTTCTCACGGGGAAAACCTCCCGCGTTGCTTTCAGGTCGCAGCTTCAAGCCGGACCAGAAATTTGCAAGTTCGATTCCCGGTCAGAACAATGACAGTGGATCCAATCCTGCACCACATCTTCTGGCCGTGCTCCCCAGACCCTAACCCAATTCACCAACCTGCACGCATAGGGCACCATGGTGGCGAGACGTCAACTACCTCGCGCCTAGTTTACAGTTTATGGGTTCGATCGCGAACCCTGACGCCTGTGTATTTGGAGTTTGCACGCTCTCTCTGTGTGGTTGCGTGGACGTTCTCCAAGCCCTCCGGTTTATTCCTTCCACATTAGAAAATACGCGTTTAGAGTATTTAGCTGCTATGCACTTCCACACGATAAGCCACTTCGTTGAGCTATCATTTGTGGCGAGGTTGCTTCTGTAAAAGAGCTACGTAGCTCAGTTGGCCTTACCTGGTAAAATAAAATAAAATGCTAAATAGTTTAGTTAGGAATGAGGAGTTGACTGCTAAAGTACAAGGTTATGGGACATTTGAGGATAATTGTGTGTCACTGGGGTGGAGCAGTGGCGCAGTGGTTAGCGTGCTGTGCTACGAGTTTGATTCCCAGCCACGGTTAAAATCAGCGGCCAGCGATATCAGAACTGGTCCTGCATGCGGCTTCACTAACCCGCACTGATCAGCATGGTGAAGTATGGTGAAGTATGGTCAAACAACCTCTACGGCCGACATAAGCGTGGGGATGACTTCATCCACCAGTAGATTGACAAAGGGCTATAGATTCGTTTAACACGTAAGCTTTCACGACCAATATCATCCATAAGAGGGTTTTTTTCCGGTTAGATCGCGTAAATATCAATGTGTCGTTAAACCCGCCACCACCCGACACAGCCATTTCGTAAGGTTTGTCACGTTAACAGAACATGCCAATTCGTTACTATTGGCATGTTCTGTTTGCGTGACAAACCTTGCTAATTGGCTGTGTCGGGTGGTGGTGGGTTTAACGACACATTTACGTGATCTAACCCAAGAACACCGCTATTATGGCTGTAGATTCATGTATATATTTGTTTTTGTTACAAATGAGACCTGGCTACTGCTACTCCTGCTGCCGATATTTCCTGTCCCCAAAAGGGGATCACATTTGGCCCATCGCCGCACAAATCTTCCCCCCCGCCCACCCCCGGTTTCCCCTTTGCCCCACCACAAGCCGCTCGCCTCACTTTATCCGCTGAAAGGGAAGAGCAAGAATGTGCCAGGCGTGGCTTTTAGACGGACGGGCGGGCGGGTGACAGTGGGACGGTGCGGAGCACGGAACGTGGGAACTGGGAGTGGGGGGCCTGCCGCAAGAGGGCCTGAGAAAGGCTGATGGGGCGGCTCGAAAAACAATGGAGTCAGGAAGGAAGGAAAGGAGAAGGGGAGAGAGCACGGGAGATATGGAACCAGAGGGGCGTTAGGTTATTAGCGGAAAGGGCCTCGCGGAGGGAGGGGGTAACGTGTGTTTGTGTGGGCGGGAGGCAGATAAGTTTTTCTCACGGCCCAAGTCGACACGGATGCTGGCGGGGCGGACTCGAGATCGCGCCCGGCCAACGACTCGGAGAGAGAGGGAGGGAGGGCGAGGGATAGAGACGGAGGGCGAGGGATAGAGAGGGAAGGAGAGGGGATGAGAGGGAGACAGACATGGAGGGAGGATGCGTGATTGACGCGCTTCGTTTGTGAGACTTTCGTGGTGTTTGCCGAGCGAACGGTAAACAAAACAGCACGATTGAATGTACGTGTGTTATGCTGAACTTCCACCGCGCCATACGTAGCCAACCATGCCAATCGGAGGTGCAGGAGAACAACCAACTCGCTGTGCTACCATCTCCCGGGCCACCTTCGCGGGTTTCACAATTTCTCGACGCGATCCACCAACCCCATGGGGCTCCAGGGTAACCGGATCGCAGGCACGCACACCACAGCAGCTCCCACCACAGCTGATGTCTCGCGCTGATCAACGAGCGAAACGTGGGGAACGGCAGCATCCCCCCTCCCCTTCCCTCTTCCTGTCGGAGCTCGTGGTCCCTCTCGGCAAGAGGCGCCACATCAGCCGAGGGCTCAGACACAGCCCTTATTCGTCCAGGTGCTCACAGCTCTGGCAGCAGAGAGCTGATCCACACACACAGTGACAGAGGGGGGCGCGGCGTTGTCAATTAGTCTCCCCCCCCCCACCCTTTCAAATGGTAACATCTTAGGGAGATGACTGCAGAAATAGATGTAGCAAAGATAAGAAGAATGTGGAGAAACCTAAAAATGTACTCGAGTGAGATAAGAGAAGAGAGATGCCGACGAGATAGAGATTACAGAGATGAATTATATGGAGGATGGACAACAACTGGAACATTTGAAGTGTGTTTGTTGTTGTTCGACAAATGGAAGGAACTAGAAAGAGAGGAAGGCCTAACCGAGAATGGCTTGATAACGACACCATAAGAAATTGGTGCCAGAAAGACGTGGCCACTTCTTGACCACATTGGCACAGGACAGGGTAAAGTAGAAACAAATGACGAAATATTACCGTGATGATGATGACAAATTCGATTTGTAAACGTGAATTCACTTGGTATGTTCACTCGTGTTTGATGCGTGCGTTTATTTACGAATTCCTTCTCCGGCCCCAAACTTTGGCTTTGCTCTGCTCACGACGATCGCCGCTGCCGCCACCGCCACCGCGGCCGCTGTCGGCTCTCCCCGCAGGGCATCAAGGAGCACAAGTGCAGCGTGTGCGGGCGCGGGTTCACCCTGCAGGCCAACATGAAACGCCACCAGCTCACGCACACCAACGTGCGCGCCTACCACTGCCACCTGTGCCACAAGGCGTTCACGCAGAAGCAGACGCTCAAGGCCCACATGATCGTCCACTCAGACAGCAAGCCCTTCCATTGCAAGGTGAGGCTCTGTGCCACCCCCCCCCCACACTCCAACCGCTCCTCCCCACCTCTAACCCTAAAACACCTGGGCTCCACCGGCGATTTTATTTTCGCAAAATCTGAAAAAAAATATTGCAGCTCCCTCCAGCGAGCAACTGGGACGGCAGCGTCCAATCAGATTTACAGACTGAGGTCACTCGTCTGCCGGTCTGCTGTCAAGCTCTCTTCATTCTAGAAATGGTGGCCTCAAGTCCGTGCGTAGATGTGGAACAAACAAGAGCTAGCCTTCCGATCGGTTGCTTTAGTGGCGAGCGTTGAACCAGGATCAAGTGGAACGTCGAGGAGCTGTGGCTTCGCCTCCTGCGTGCAGTGGCGAACGACTACGCAGGGCGAGGTGGCTTGACGGTCGAGTCCGGCGCCGGGAGATGCGGGTCATCGGCAAAGTGGGTCGGAGCCAAGTCGTGTTCATGGCCGGCCGTGCGGGTCGGGCTCACGTCCATCGTGTCGCGTCCGACCCGCATCCGAGTGGGCACGCCGTGAACATGCGGCAGTAGATCCGGCCCTCCCGCTTTGCGGGTCACCTGCGGGTATCGTGGGTATCTGGTCAGATGGAGGGCTCTACCTTGGTGGCTTAGGGGGTTCATAATTATCGTGTCAGAGCACTGAGTAGCCATTGACTCGGGTTCTCAAGTGCTGGGAGTTTATGCCCACAGCCTCGTCTCTAATGATTGTGCAAAAAAATGCACCACACTGAATACATTTCTGTTGGTTTATTTCGCTAAATTCCCGCTTAGAATTGTTACAAATATTGGTTCTACTGCCATGTGACTAACATTTCTGCAGAGCAGGGCGTGCGGGAAAAGTGCGGCGCCCTCGGCATCGTCGAATTAAAATGTCACTCGGAGGGTTCTCAGAAGCAGTTCTGCGACATCGCCTTCCGCGGGCCAGTCTCTCATAACACGGAGGCGATGGGCTGCTCACGAAACCGCGAGTTTATAACGGGCACTTCACGTGGGCGATCACACGACGCCAACGGCGCACCTGCAAATAAAACTTCGGGTGAATGAAACAGAAAAACCGGGCGAAATAAAAACGACCTCGGGGAAACGTAAAACAAAAAAAATGCTGGACGCGAGGCAGGCAGGCTGGGCTGGCGGCCCGACCGCTGCGACGTTCGCGCCCGCACGCAGCGGCAGCAGCAAACGCCTCCTGGCACGGAGCTGTTTTTGCGCGGAGTCTCGAGGCCCCGTGGAGCGCTACGGCCGGCAATGAGTGCTTTCGGAAGGAGGCCCCTCCCTCGCCGACTTCCCGCTCCCAGTCGCCTCTCCAAACCCCACTCCCTCCCAGGCTTCCCTCTTCCCATGACCTCACTATTTGTCCTCGCGCTGTTCTTTGCATCTTTTCCAATTTGGATCCTGCCAAAATGTGTTATTTCGTCAAAAAATAATTTGTCTTAAAAAAATGTTTCTCGCTTTGTTCTCTCTCTCTCCCCGCTTTGCTATTTTTTTTGTCTTTGCCCCGACTTCCCGTCACAAAAAGCACAAATGTGAGCTCTGCATCCTGGCGATATTTAAAATAAACGTGCGTAAGCTCACAGAGAGGAGCACAGAGGAGGAGGATAGTGATTACGGTAATTGTTCAGAATTAACCATTTTTACTGGAGTTTTTTAAATATTATCTTAACGGAATTTTTATATAGCGCCATAATCAAGGCGCTTTACAAAGAATTAACAACGGTACAACAACGTGCGTGCGTGTGTGTGAATGCAATGGTGGAGACGAGGTGAATGAAATAGATGAGAGGAAGCAATGGGGGCGAATCTGCGATGATGCGTGAATTCGGTGAAGGTGAAATTGATGACAGTCAATGGCCATGAGTGGAATGAATGAACGCGGTGAATGAATGGGGTGAATGAATGGGGTAAATGAATGAATGGGGTAAATGAATGAATGGGGTGAATGAATGGAGCGAATGGTGTGAATGAGTGAATTAATGTGGTGAACGAGTGAATAGGGTGAATGAGTGAATGAATGGGATGAATGAGTGAATGAATGGAGTGAATGGTGTGAATGAGTGAATGAATGGGGTGAATGAGTGAACGAATGGTGTGAATGAGTGAATTAATGGGGTGAATGAGTGAATAGGGTGAATGAATGGGGTGAATTAGTGAATGAATGGGGTGAATGGTGTGAATGAGTGAATGAATGGGGTTAATGAGTGAATGAATGGGGTGAATGAGTGAATTAATGGGGTGAATAAGTGAATTAATGGGGTGAATGAGTGATCGCCGTGTAATGAGAATATTAAGAAGGGAACGGTACCGGTTGTGTTTATGAGGGGGAGATTAAGGAGTCGTCGTGGGGTGAGCTCAGGGACAACAAGTGAGCTTCGAGTGAGGAGCGGAAACTTAGCGAGCGAAGGTGACTACTTCACGTGGAGGGGGAAGTTTGTTCCAATGAAGGGGGGCGAAAAGAGAAAAAAAAAGAGCGGAACAAGTACTGTATTTGGTGCACAAGGACGCCTCTACTTACGAACATTCGACTTACGCACTTTCACAGATACGAACAAACCTGGTTTGTAAGTCCAGTTGCCTGTTCGGACCAAGAGTCGTAAGTTCAACCGCTGCGCAATAGTTGGCGGTGGTGTCATCTACATCTGCAGAACGTGAGGAGCCAGTGGCATCTACATCTACAGGAGATAATACAACTTTTAAAGCCATTCCCCGTGTTTAGTGTACATGCCCTGCAACGTGTTTGGAATCGACAGGAGTGAACTTGGACTCGCGAACAAATCGACTTACGAACAGACCTCTGGAACCAAACTCGTTCGTAAGTAGATGAGTCCCTGTAGACGTTTAACACCTTATGCCACCCTCCCACGTGACTGAATCACAGCAGACGTAGGCAACCGGCAGTGCTGACTCTGAAATAAAGGCTCCGTGGGGAGACTTTCCCCTGCCACAGTGATGTGGAATATATATAACTGGCTCTGGCCCACTCCATGCGCTCATTATCAGAAAGACACGTTTACTTCCAACTATAATTAATTTAAATATATATAACGTGTACAGTAAAACATACATTTACGAATGCAGCGGCAGCTTTGATCAATGCCAAGCCTATGAAATTGTTTAATCACATCGCACATCTCGGTCCATCTGCTATCAGTGGATCGCATTTCAATCCAAATGCAGTCCCAACTCAATAAAGCTCGAGCCAGCTGACGAGTTACTGTGAACGTGGCTCACGGTGCTCCGTGGCTCACGGTGAGTCCCGACGCCAAAACAGACTGTCACTTTCAATAGCAAGTGCGGAGGCAGAGCGCAGGATCACAGTCGTGTGATACAAACAACACACACAAGAGACATCCCTCTGTCGCCATATGGACTGTGGAGGCACGGCCTGAATGGGTGAGGAGGTGAGGTTGTGGTGTGGCCGATACGACGCCTGGTTTCCGGCCACACCAGATGCCCGAGACACAGCGTGCCCGCTCTTCATGTCAGGCTAAGTCGAGCTCATAGAGGCCCTGGATGGGTGTCTGACGATCGCCACCGATGGCAGCCGTCGCTGGCAATCGAACTCGGGTTGCCCCGGCACATCGCCTAGCGTGCTAACCACTGCGTCCGCCGCCCCTTAGCCACCACGCCCACGTGTGTGTGCGTCTCGCATCATACACGCACGCGTGTGCACGTGCACCTGTGCAGCAGTGACACGTGTGTACAATGGCAATGGAGCAACGGAGGGAAGGATGGATAGGCCGATAGACGGGAGAGGCGAGATAGAGGAAAATAAATGTGCCACGGCCGCCCCTGCAATCTTCCCCCATCGCCGATAACCGAGCGCCCCCCCCCCCCCCCCCTCACTTGCAGTCGCCACGAACCGCGCAGAGCTCCGCGGTTCGTGGGCCTTGAACAAAAACAAAACCACGCAGGCCCCGAGGTCCCGACGGCCCGGCGCGTCCCTGCGCGCAAAGTGCACTTACAAAATAAAAAGCAACACAAAAAAAATCACTGAAATCTTTCAGCGTGTCACTCCATCGCCGTTTGATTCAATTCACCCTTGACGAGACCCCACCCTCCCCCTCCGTGCGAACATCAGCCCCCGCTGCGGCTCGTGACGGCCCTACCGGTGGGAACGCACGCGCACGCACGCGCACGCACAGCCCCCTTCGTCGATATCCAACTGCTGGATGAGGAGAGCCTCACCCGGGTGTGCGGAGAGTCGGGGTCACATGAACACGCTTCCCCACACTGGCACGTGCGGGGATGGTGAAGGCGTGGAGCGTAGAAGTACGGGACAACAGTGGGTTTTGCTGCACTGTTTTTGCAGTTTATCCACATCCTGCCGAGCACTGTGGTCACCCCATCCCCGCACGATCCGGGCTGATCCCCGCTTAACTCCTGAGAACTGGTGGAATTGGGCACATTCGAGGTGATGTGGTCGTTGGCCGTGCATCTAATACGTGTGGACAATCAGGGGGACGGAGTGCCTGCCGCGAATGTGAATCGCGTTCTCGAAATCACGTAGCTCAATATTTGGCATAAACATTACCGAGTCTATGCTTGTAAATGGAAACATCTAAAAAAACTATGTACGCTGCATATACTCGTGCAGGCCCCATAAGCCAGAGGCTCCGAAGGGGTGGGGGGGGGATTGTACAGGAGAGCGCATTTCATCCCTTGTACCGGGCTCCGCGTTACCGTCGCATGTTCAACCTCGCACCGAGTCGCGCGTCCGCTGTGCTAACCCCCGCGCTGTCGACGGCAGATCTGCGGGAAGCAGTTTAACCGCCTGCACAACCTGATGGGCCACCTACACCTGCACGCCTCGCGCAAGCCCTTCCAGTGCTCGCACTGCCCCAGCAAGTTCACGCTCAAGGGCAACCTGACGCGGCACACCAAGATGAAGCACGGCCCCCCGCACGGCTCCGCCTGGGACGGCGACGACGTCGCGGCGCCGCTCCGGCCCGAGACCCCCCCCGCGTGGGCGTCGCGCTCCGGCGGCCCCCCCCTCTCCGTGACGGCCGCCCCCCTCCGCCGCATCGAGCCGGCGTCGCTGGAGGCGTCGCTTCGCCAACCCGCCGCGACGTCGGCGGCGTCGGCGGCGGCGTCGGCGGCGCGTGTGGCGATTCAGCACCGCGTGCGCTGCCGGACGAAGCCGAACGCGCGAGCCGGAGCTCGGGCGCTCTCGGACAAGTTGCCGCGAGGGCCTCGCGTGACCCCCCAAGAGGGGGGTCGTGACGGCGCCATCGTGGCGTTCTGGGAGCAGGTGGAGCCGTTCGATCTGTCGCGGGCGGGGTGCACGGGGGGGGACCCGGCGGCGGCGGCGCGCGTGGCCGAGAGGCCGGGCGGGACAACGCTGGAAGAGGCGCGCGCCTTCTCCGAGGGCACGGAAACGAGCCCCGTCCACGTCAAGTGCGAGGAGGTCCACCGCGACGACAGGAGGGGCCTGCAGGCGATCTCCGTGCGCGATGTTCAGTTGAGCTGGGACGACTACAAAGGGACGGTGCGGGCGGCGGCGGCGGCGGCGTGCGAGCGCCGGGGAGACATCAACGGGCACGGCTGCCACTGGCTCCGCTCGCAAATCTGAGCCGCGCGGAGGGGATTTGTCTCAGCAGCGGCTTCCTCTTCCCGACGTCACATACTCAATGCCTGGGCCTTCGTCTCTCGCAAAATCATTTCCAGGTCGCTGCTCGACCGGAGTCGGCGTGCGACGAGCAGCCGAGGATATATCGCGAGAGGTTTTGCCAAAAGTGGGCGCCCCGTTGGAAAACATTTGCCGGGAGTGCCGGCTGGAATCTTAAGCCCTGTCTACATTTTTTTTTTAGTACAACTCCTTTAATAAACCAGCCCCTGCACATTTTGGATTTAGCTGAAGTCATCACAGCCGTGCAGTTATTAGACGACGCGTACAAATGAAGTGCAGCACACACGTATTTCGAATTTTGGCTCTGGAGTGTGAGTTTCAGCCTTTAAAACACCCGGCATGCATTGGATTCGCAGCACATATTTCAGCTTCAATGACAAACAACAATGCGATTGGGCGCACAAAGTAATTCCCCTGCCTTCTACAGTGGCTTTGTAAATCAGAGACACCAGGAATATACGAGATGACTCTCGACTAGTATGACAATGATCCGTGCCAGGCTCGTCAATTATGTGTTTTTTTTCCCTCCCAAGAATTTAATGAACACATGATAACGGGACACATCATTTCTGTGGGGGTTATTTTTCATAATCTGCGGGTGGCTGGAAAACCCGGACTGGGTTGCTTGGTGCTCATTGCCGGGAGTGCGGTTGACTGCAATGCAGAACAATTCTAAGAAATCCAATTTAAATCAAAGAAAGTCACAGTCCAGGTCGGTCACTTTCCTGCATTCCCATCATGGGTGAGCCACTATCGGCTATGTATTGGAGATGGCACGACAATTGCACAGGAATAACGATACTGCACCAAAACGACTTCTTGAGTTCTTATGCACAACTCATCGATCGCACTGATCCTCATCCTTAGTTTGTTGCGTCATTGCAAGAACAGCGCAAGAATTCACCTAACGCCGCTTAACCACGGAATCGTTCACAAGTCATCACCGTAGCAGTGTCGCCTTCAGGCGCTGTTCAGGGACATGCAGGCATACGAGGAGACTCCGTGGAACATGTCACATGTGGTTTTGCTTTTTTGCCAACAAAATTGTGCCGTCGTGTCTGCTTGTCGGCGCTCCGTGTTCATTTGCGAATGTACGAATTCACAACAGTTGACGTTGTGTATCGCAAGGAAATTGTGATGTCACCTCATCACGTGATGATGCTTTGTGGGATGCTCAACCGCATCAAAGAGGTGTTGGCTGATGCATATTTGATGGAGTGGGGGGGGGCAGTAGGTGTTGGAACACAGCCACACCTGGGCAACCCTCACCTTCGTTCTGCTTGAGGTATGGACATGTCACAGGTATGGATTCAGTCAGTGGTGCAGGTGCATCTGACACTGGCACCTATGAAATGGAGGGGTCCTGCTACTGGGGCCATGAAGAAGGGGGATATTGGACAGGGGGCCCAATTTCATTCTTTGCATCAGGGCCCACGTCTCATCTGTGCCGTGCCACTGGCTTCAGTGTCATTATCGATGAGTGTTATTTTGACTCACCTCTGCACTGTGCTTCTTGCTGACCGGTTGTTCGACATGCACTGCACAGCATTGATCTGAACAGACACATTTGGGGAATTTTCCTACTGCTTTAAAAAAAATAGGAATTTAGATAGAGAAAGGTATATTGATGGTAGAAATGGGAAAATTACTCCAGTACCCCACGTGCTCATGAGTTATTTTGAGGACTGGTTAATAATTTAATGTAAGCCTCCGTCATTTCTGGAGACATTTGTAATCATCCTGAATGATAATGTTACGTGCTCTGCAAAAGAGTTGACATATTTGCGAATAAATTGTACAATTCACATTGCAGTATTGCAATTAGAATCGTGCTGGCAATATTAAGAGACACGTTTTAACAGGAACTGCCCATATCATGTATGTGCGAGTGTAAAATGGCTTTATAGTGTACCAAAATGTTCAAACCATTAATAAAAGTGTGCGGGCACAATCCTTACAACTTTATTATCCCTAAGAAAAGCACACGTTTTATATCGTCCCACTGTTCCTCTCCGCGTGGCTTATTTCGTGTGTTAATTGCATTAAATCTACAGCAAAGCAAAAAATATTTGTTGCGCTTATATTTTTTTAAATGTTATATTTCCCTGATGGCTCTTAAGTGTCCAATTGCGTACAACAATAAAATCGACGAACACAAGCTTATTATAACTTAAACAATTGTGTACACACAGACGCCCCGTCCGACCGACTCATTTCTTTAGAACGGCCTTTTGTGTTTAGTTTGTCGTCCTTCCCCCGCACCTCCGAGAAGCATGATTGGCTACTACAGTGCGAAATAAGTTCAACGTGCATCCTCTACATGCATCCCCAAGCCATTCAGACCCCTGTCACTGAGCAATTCGCGTCGCTCTCCAGACCAGGGGTGCTGAAGTCACTCACTGGCAAATCGCTTTGCATTCAAACCGCGCGCACCCAACATTTCTCGTTCAACAATAGCTGCTGCTACGGCACGTGCTGTAGTTAAACCAGTAGTGATGGTGATGTTGTTGTCTTGCATGAAGTTCACATCCAACGCCCGGCTCGTCTTCTCAACGCGCTCGGGAGCGACGGGGCAATGTCGCTCCCGATTAGAATCGGGGGAAAGGTGCTCGCCAGGTTACGCCTTCCATACAAAGTCTCCGCATTTGAAAATTCGGTCGCCGAATCACGCGGGAGCGAACATGTCGGGACGCCGTGCCGGAGAAGGCGCGGAACGACGTGGAAACACATCTGGAGGGCTAAAAAGGTACTTTTCGAGATACACAACCACGGGGGAAGAGGGCTCACGTGAGAAGGCTTCCTCGCTCGATCGATCCGTGGCGATGCTGGTGGTGGAGGACGTGGATCCTGAGACGCAGCCCGAGCGGAGCATTCTGGTGCCACGAGGCAAGTGGTGACAACCAGCAACCCTGGAAGTAGGGCTGAACGATGAATCGATTTCAAATCTAAATCGCAATTTGAAACAATGCGATTAGTAAATCGCAAAGGCTGCGATTTTTTGCGATTTGAAAAGTCCTATTACTTTCTTATTAGAAATGTTTTATTTTTTTATTATTATAACTTTATTTATTTAACTTAACAATTGTTCTGTTTGAGTGTTATATTTCAATTAAAACATTTTAATAACACATGTTGGAAGCAATTCATATATTTTAAGTTCTCATCCTTGCATTAGAATATATAGAGCAGTTCATATTTTGATGGTACAATGTGGTAATGCTCCATCACGTGTTTAAAATCTATTACACAGTGAATATTAAACTGAAGCTTGACTTAAAAAAATGTAATCGCAAATAAAATCGCAATGTCACAATAATCGCAATTAGATATTTTTTCCCAAATCGTTCAGCCCTCCCAGGAAGCTGCTGGGGGGGTAGTCTCCCGAGCGAAGTTGTCCCGGGTGGATGCTGGGTAAATTGCAGGCGACCTTTACCCCCCTGACTTCCGTCGCGCACGAGTTCTGCTCAACTCGTAATTACGGCAAGGCCTCGCTTAACGCGTTGCTCACACAACGCGTTTTTCGCTGCAACACGGCGCTTCCAGGGAGGGAAACACTTTTTTTTTTGCACAAAGCAGAACGCGCTCGCAGTTATAACGCGGAAGGCTCGCAGTTATAACGCGGTTTCTGAGCGGCCAACGACAAACTATTTTCTTGAGTTGCGTGGCCGAGAGGTGTGACACGGTACGCGGATTGATACAGGAACACGGCAGTTATTGTCCCGCCAAGTTACTGTGTGTACAAACTGTACATTGTATCTTGCCAAAGGTTATCGTTATTTATGGGGGGTAATAGTTTTCACTCAACGCGTTTTTTACTTAACGCAGAATTTTTCAGGAACGCATCTTCCGCGTTAAACGAGGAATTGCTGTATACTGAAACCGTACAAGCACTCCTCTACTTACGAACTTTCAGAGATACGAACAAATCTGTCCGTATGTCCAGTCGTAAGTTCAACCGCCGCGCAATAGATGGCGGTGGTGGCATCTACATATGCAGAATGTGAAGAACCAGCGGCATCTACATCTACAGGAGATTATACAACTTTTAAAGTCCTTCCCCTTGTTTAGTGTACATGCCGTGCAACGTGTTTGGAATCGACAGTATAGTTGGACTTGCGAACAAATTGACTTACGAACAGACCTCTGGAACCTATCTCGTTCGTAAGTAGAGGAGGTTGTGCTTGTGCGACTGTGCATTCAACGGCTCTCGCCAGAATAGTCAGCACTGTGGAGAGCTCGGATTTGTGGATCACGCAAATGTTGTGAAACTTTCCTTCCCGCGGACATTGAGGTGGTTGCCATAACTCTGGCTCGTTATAAGGCAGCAGTACATAACAAACATGGACTCCCACCCGTTTTGCCTGCATGGGATAGTGTTTCCCCCTCGCATCACGTGGGTTAGCTCCGGGTTGCTCCATGTAAACTCTCATTAATTATCCGGTAACACCTTAATATAGGTTGGACCGCAGAGCTCGGGCAATTGTTGGCAGCGGCTCCTCTTCGCCTGGCTGCTGCTGCCTTCCCACTCGTCTGTGTGGTTCCTTCTCACGCCTTCGAGCCATTACCTTCGAGGGTGAGTGAAAACCGCCAAGGTGCGTTAGTCAACTTTTTTTTATTATTGAAAACTCGTACTGAAAGAGGCATTTTCAACCCCCAAAAAATGTTTCTGAACAAACAACGTGGCCGTTTGTTATAGTTTGTATGTCTTGGCCATATATAAGCACGTGGGTGTCCGGATTCCCACAGTTGCTGTGCCCCTGCACGAGACGTCGGGCTAAGGAAAGCCTCAGTTACTCCGTCAGTCACTCTTTAAACCGCGTGAGTCGAGGCTTCAACTAGATCTGGGACATCCATTTCCTGCTCGTTTGATGTAAAAAAAAATAATAATCCTACCTTCATTCTTTTTTTAACCTGCAAATCATTTGTACTCGTTAAAGCCACGCTCGCTGGCATTTGGTTCCCCCCTCAATTCCATAAATTTGCTGCCAGGAGATCAGACTTGTTTTTAGCGATGTGAAAAGAAGAGGCGGGGGGGGGGGGCTTTTAAGGGGGGCAGTTCCTGTACAGCCGAGTGTTCTAATAATCCATCCCGTGAAGCGGTGGTTCTTATAACCTGGGATGCACGCAACCGCTTGGGGGTGCCAAATGCCCTTTCTGGGGATGCGAGACATGGCCAGATTTTCTTAGAAGGTTGAAACGCGAATTAAGCACGGGCACGTTAGTACAACTACTTCGTTTCACCAAACTCTATGTTAATAAATACATAGAGTTTCATCAAACTCTTATGTATTTATAAACATGAACGATTGAGAAACGAAGGGGGTGAAAAAAAGAAGCAGCGAAGGTTATACGAACCCACTGCCGTGGTGACGTCTCAAGCCAGGAACAAGTGGCCAGGGAAACCTCCGCCCCTCCCCCTACCACGGCCCTTCAAGTGAAGCCCCATCACTGTTGATATCGCACCGAGACATTTTCACTTCTGGGTTGGAGAGGTGGCGCTGCGGTGTCCAGCGCACTGCGCTACGACAGACCGAACCCAGCCGCCAGAGTTTTGATTCTTGAGCATGGTCAATAAAATGAGCGATGTCTGAACCGGTTATCCCCCGCCTCTCCACCCCTCCACCCACCATCGCAAACACGCATTGACCATCATGGTGAAGTACGGTAAAATAAGTCACATGGCTGACACAGCACAAGGTGGCCAATATCCAGCTGCGAATTGACAAAACGCTGTGATACGATTACCTTATACAGTCTGCGGACGTGTATTTGGCCTTCTATGTACATGAACGATTTATCCACGTGATTGTTTTAATGACCTGCTGCACACCCATGCTATATTACACATGTTCTAATGAGCCATTCCTTTAGTTTTCCTGTAGATTCAATTACATTCCAATCCAGAAATTGGCAAACGCTCCACGAGACGCTACAGAAACCGTCATGTAGCTGCTCAGTGGCATATTAAATACAAGCATTTGATAACGAATGTGAAATACTGTACATAATCACCACGCTGCTTTTCATATTTTTATTAAGGATAACCTATTCTGTATTTAAATAAGCAATGCATCTTGGCAGAAAAAAATCATATTACATTTACATATTTTTCAAGACGTGCTCCATACAAACGTCATGCGCACTTTACGTCAGCTCCAAAGAAGATCCGTGGCCGCCTTGACGATTGAGGCCCGATGCTTCGTGCTCTTGGCACGGGCCAGTTTGCCCCACCGCGTTCAATGCCTCGTTTCCATGGCCACCCGAACCGGAGCTCTGCTGGCCCAGGACTAGCCCAGTTCTGGCCCAGGATCGGCACCACGGCCTGGATATGGGTTTCCACGCCGCGTGAGCAGTGCCGGATTATCCGAGTAGCAAAAGTAGCTACATCTGCTACGAGTCGCGCACTTTCAGGCCCCCCCCCCCTAAATGATTTCAAGCTATTAATTCCGGTTCAGTGATTCTGCACTTGCCCTATTACTATTGTACTATACTGCCTTCAACTTTTGTGAACGACTGGGTTTTTAAGGTTAGTGATTTATCGTATTATCTGGCTGTATAGCAAATGAAAAAATACAATTACTTTACTATGCAAGTACATTTTTTAAAAGATGTTTTTTTTTTTACTTTAGGGCCCCTTTTTAACATATGTTACAGACCCCGCACTATCTTAATCCGGCACTGCAAGCGAGTCGTATGGCTCTGCGAGTTCCGCCCTTCTTAACCCAACCCAATGGTGGCCGCCTGACAGTAGTCTGAAAGTGAATTTTTTACGAATGTGTTTTCAAGCAGGTATGGGTTACACGCGTATGTGGTCCTTTTCCCGCACTTCCGATTAGCACAGTTGGCTACGTAGTACGATGTGAAAGAAGTTCAACATACATACCGAGATGTTTCAATACATTTTTAGCGCGTTTTAACGCCAACACGGCTGGGATGGTTGACTAAGCGTGCTACGTCCAGAAAGCATGTGCTTTAATTTCCATTTGCCCTTGCGACGTTGCAACCAATTCTGGGGTGAGCCCAGGTAAAAGCGTGCAGCATTGGTCACTTGAGCTGGGGGCCCGTGGTATCGACCACGCTCACTTGGGATTAGTTTGGTTCGGAAGGATTTCCCATGGGAACATTCAAGAGCCGAGCCAGCCCGGCTCTTGAATGAGCTGAAAGACATCACCGACACCAGACCACAGCGGGAATGAAACGCTGGCTCGGGGTAAGACAGCGGGCCCACTGCTCGATGCGGCCGGGGAATGGGGTCAAACGGATTTCTCATCGCGTGTTAATTTCAACAAACTTTTCCCAGAAGTATATCCAAGTTGTGCTACCATTGTCACGACACGGGAAACACCCATTTGAATCTCTCGCAGAGAAGTGCAAGACTTTGTGTTCGAAGAACAGCCCACGGAAGTGAACGTCAAAGCTTCCCGAGATCCTTTCACTCGACCTCTGCTTCACACGGTAGTGGGCAGCAGTTTCCCCTTCGCTTGCCGCCGAGCAATGTGTCACCTGACGTTGAAACCAATATTGTCAAAGAGCCGGAATTTTGCCAAATTAAGCGGCAGAATCAAAATTGAACGCGACGGCTTTTTGAGCAGCCATTAGTAACCGAGCAAACACGGATTCCAACCCAGGTTCCGAGTGGTGCTGGCTCGGCGGCATATAGGTTCTTGATGCGTGTGGAACTTCTGGTCACTCGAGACGTCCCGACTTTGCGACCTCTCAACCCTGCCGTACCTCCCCCGCAGCAGAGTTGTGTTTGACCTGTGCGCTCAGCAAAGAGTTTTACAGAACGTTTGCGGTGCAAAGTGGTGCTCATTAAACTTCTCCGGCTGTTAATGTTCATGTCTTTGAATGACAAGCGAGGTTACAACTTCATTTAAAATGTGCGCATTTATGTAAAAAACCACCACGGTGTTGAGATGTTAACTACCTCTTCTGGTGTACAGGAGGTCGTGGGTTCGATCTCGACCACGACGCCTGAACATTTGGAGTTTGCGTGTACTCCCCATGGTCACGTGGGTTTTTCTCCAGGTCCTTCGGTTTTTACTTCCACACTTGAAATCATGCATTCAGATTATTTGGCTGATATAATTTTCCACACGATAAGCCACTTCGTTGAGTTGTCAATTGTGACCAGCTCGCTTCTGCTATAAACCTCAGTGGGGGCCCTTACCTGGTTAAAAAAAAAAAACTTTAGTAAAGTTTTAGTTCATTCTCAAAGCGGCCAAAGTAATTGACCACAGAAAAGCAGCCGATTGCAGTGTTTGGTGGATTGATTGACCTCATCGACTCATCTTAACCAACGCAGCACCACATCGTGCGGAGTGGTCAACACAACGCTCGTCGTCCTCGTCATTCCGTGAGCAGCGTCTGGCTGAGCGCCCCGGTGCGTCTGCCCACGCCGCGGCTGCCCTTCAACCTCGGCGCTTGGCCGCCGAGGTTACGCTGGCTCCTGGGCTTGCTGCACAGCAGCGTGTCGAACGGCATGGCTGAGATGTGGCCCATCCGCTCCAGGTGCCCCAACAGGTTCTGCAGATCCTCGCCGTCCGGGTCACACGTCTCCCCCTCCAGCGAACTTTGCACCTGCGACATCTGGCAGGGCAGGGGGAACGGGAGGGGCAAGCGACCCGTCAAGGTCACAATCACGCGTGCCGGAATTCACCCAAATGAACCCCTTTCCCGTTCCGAGGCCTCCGCGAGTTGCAAGGGTCGGTTCCGTTCACCTCTGAATCTCGGAACGCGCAAGCGGTTCGGCGTTTATTTCATTTAGAGGGCAGAGTGCCGTTGTTTTTAAAGACGTTGTACTCGCCGCAGAGAACTATAGCGACACGACCGCACTCTATGATAGCTGCCACCAAACTGTACCACACGCCCTCCGGCATGGACTTGTGTACCGATAAAGTTATTTCATTTTGTCTTACGTTTTCGTGCTGATGACGTACACATACAGCATTGGAACGGTAAACGGGTTAAGTGCACAACTAATTTCATCTGAAGGGTTTTTTTTTTGTATTGGCGACCGTGTTGAGAACATTAATTGCGCTAAACTTGAGAACCCACGTTCTCAGCGGTGCCAGCTCCGTACTCTGAGCCACCCGATCACCTCTCTTCAATGACCCTGCTACAGAGGAATGCGACACATTGCAATATTACATCCTATTGTCGTGATTGCCCAAGTACGGTGTGAAAGAAGTTCAGCATACATAACGAGAAAAATGCTTCCCCTCAGAGATATAGATAGATATATGGAAAAGTAAGTTCAAATCTAATTCAACACAGCCATTAATTTGCAGTCAACTGATGACTAACCCGCGATGACCTCAACAGCCCAAACGACTAAGGGACGAGAAGATTGTGAACCCTTTACTAACGGGAGTCGGTTTTGCCACCAGCTACCGAGGGCCGTGCCGGGCCTGCCGTGCCACGGCACGCACGTGAGTCCGCCCCGATGGCGCGGCTCACCACGTCCCGACAGATTTCGATCTTGTGCACGAAGTTGGAGACGTTCCCGTCGCGCACGGACTTGAGGAGGTGCAGCATCTCGGCGCGGGAGCGCGTCAGCGCAGCCAGCAGGACCTGCCACGGGGGGGGCAAAGGGCACGTGGGGGGGGGGGCGGACCCACGGCACCGGCCAAGAACAGGTCAACTCACCCCAACGGGGCTCTGGGAATCGTCGCGATTTAGGGTGGCGACGATGACACCATTCAAGAATTGATGCCTCTCCCGGATAATAAAAAAATAAAAATTCACAACCTACTAATACAGTGCAAGATAACCGGCGACAGCTTAATTGGAAAACTTCACAACTCACATTGTTAATTAGTTTGTATTGTATCATCAACATTAACTATCAAGCTTTGGGTCGTCAAGCTTGTCCACAACACCCCTGCATAGATTTTCTTGTCTTCATGTAAGGTGCATTCATTGTAAATAAATTATTCTTACACACACACTTCTATGCATGTATCATGAGTATGAGAATATTTTTTTCAATTACTGTTGTTGCACTCATTTGCCCAGGGGAGCCTCGCTGAGTCTCAAGACTATTTTTCAGGAGGGTCCTGCCCAATGTTTCGCAGGAGGGGGTGATCTTTCTGCTGTAATCCCAAATGGGCAACCTGCAGGCATTTTTTTTGGCAATGGGATGGATGTTTGGATGGATGTTTATCCAATCCCAATCAATGTGTCCTTTAACTGAAGATGATGATGAAAGCCAATTTACAATCTGTTGCCAAAACTGTACAATGGTAAAAATCCTCCATGCCCAGGCTCCTCATCCGTCCTCCACTCACCTGCAGATTGAGGCACACTTTGGAGTTTGGCTTCAGGATACGGTTGTACAGAACCCTGGCATTTTTGAGATCTCCCTAAGCAAAAGCACAATTGGTGGGGAGGGGGGGGGGGGGGGAGAAGTAAAACAATTACTAACTAAACACGTAACTCTCAATTACCCACGGGCCGCTCATCCAAGTCTGCGGATTAACCGTTCCCTTGCGACGTGTTGAACGTGCGTGCCGGTGCAATCATCATCTGGTCCATCTCGACAAAAGGGGCACCTCCCGCCCCCCATGCACCTGGTTGATCGCCAGCATGACGGCGAAGCAGTAGCCGCGCCGGGCGACGGGGCGCACGTTGATCTCGGCGTCGTCCAGCACGCTCTGGCAGACTTCGTACGACTCGTGCGTGTTCTGGAAGCAACGGGGGCCCCCCCCCCACCCCCCACACCCCCCGCAGAGGAGGCAACGAGCGGACCATGAGCTGGAGTCCATCGGCATGAGTCGTCATCATAGCGAGACTAATCATCGTCATGATAATAAGGGCGTTGTCTTCTTTGGTTCTTTCGGTAAAGTCACGTAGAATGAGAATAAAATAATAATAAGTGAAGGCCACTTGTGTTGTGGCCGAAACGTCGTGAGAATTTTATTGTGTTATTTTATAAATTTATTATTTTATTCTCATTCTACGTGACTTTACCGAAAGAACCAAAGAAGATGAATCCTTGCAGTCACGAAAGCTTTAAATCGAAATTTAAGAGCATTGTCTGTTTTGCTAGAACGCTGCGTGTTGCTTTCATAACACGAATTGGATATAACGCGATTAATGTTAGGGAACACATTTTTTTTCATCACGCGGATGCAAATTGAGTATAACGCGATCGAGTGAACGGAACTACGTCGTGTGAGTAGAAATAAGCGGTCGTACGGCCGCCTCGGCGTAGTATCCCACATGGTGGGATACATGCTTCTGGATGCTTCTGGATGCTACCCACGTGCCTGAGTCTTTGTTCAGCCTACATATGCATCTCACGTGTTATCATGGACTGTGCTTTGTCCTACATTGTATATTATTTATTATAACGCAATCTTTAACATAATGCGTTCTTCAGGAACGCAACTATAGCGTTATAGGAGAACAGACTGTAACCACAGGCAAAAGACGATTTCCAGAAAGTAAAAGGTGCAATAGTGACCACTGGTTCGGACCTCCCATCATGCCGTGCATGTCACGTGACAATACCATCATCTCCATCATGAGCCATGATCGATCCACTGCTGAATTAAGGCCTCCCCAAGCCACTCCACTAAACGTGGAATGATCGCCCCAGTCACGACTTTATTGAACATTTACGATTCAATGCTTGAATTGTGACCTTGTGGTGGTTGTGCTTTTAATGTTGAACCCATCACAGTCAACACACATTTACCCCCCCCCCACCCCCATTGCAATTTCACTGCCACGATTAAGGATCACGATTCAATGAAGTTGCCCTCTGAACACTGTACCCCATAAACGTAGCGCACTCTGGTGGCACCAGGGCTCACGTAAACACTTTACACGAAATAAACACGAACAGCAAGGACCAGATTCTCAACCACAGTACGATTTATCGTTACACATCTAACCCCCCCGCCCCCCACACGCCACTGCCAAAGTAACACTGGCTTCGCTTAAGCAGTGCTCACCAGTTTGTAGCACAGTGCCAGCGCCAGGAGGTACGTGTCTTTAGTATACTGAGTCCCACGTTGCCGCATCTCTTTGATGACATTTAAGGCGCCTAGAACAGCGGAGAGTACAACAATAAAGGGTAATTAGTTCTATGACAATGTCGTTCGCAAACCTTCGCATGTTTCCGAGGAACAAGAGGCGCATGGCAATCAGACTTGATTGTGTGTACGTTGAACTTCGTTCGCACCGTACGTAGCCAACCGTGCGAATCGGAGGTGTGGGGGAAGGACAACAAACCAAACACAAAAAGCAGTTCTAAAGAAGTGAGCTTTTAATCTAGATTTAAAAGTGTAAAGCTTCAGTGGCTTCCTAATATCGAAAGGAAAACCGTTATAGCTGGCTGCAGAAGCGCATCTGAATGCACGATATGTAGTATCCAAGTTACCTATGGGTGTTGTGGATTAACACTAAGTTACTGGGTCAAACGGTGGTTAGTGTTTGCACACTACGCTATGAACCCTGCAACCACAGTTCGATTCCCGGCCACGGCTAACATCAGTGGCGAGCGGTATCTGAATAGGTCCTTGGCCACCCTCCTCTTAGCTCATCCCGCACTCACCAGCGTGGTGAAGTATGGTCAAACAACGCCCTTGACCAACACAGAATGGAAAGGCCTTCATGAGCAATGATTTGACAGAAATAAAAAACGTTATCAAATATTACCAAAACAGGGAGTTATCGTGCATGATGAAATATGTTTTACCATCAGAAACATGCATTTAGAGTATTTGGCCGCTATACATTTCCACGCGATAAGCCACTTTGTTGAGCTATCATTTGTGGCCCGGTTGCTTCTGAAAAAGAGCTACGTAGCTCAGTGGGCCTTGCCAGGTGAAATAAAAAGTTTGGTTGTTAAGCTCTGTGCTTTCTCTTACTTTCGTAGTCTTCTTTCTCATACAGCATATCAATCACGACAGCAAAGGACGTGTGGTCGCCAAAGAAGTCCTTCAATTTCTGGAACGCATGGTGAAATACGTATTTCATTCTTGTCAACATATCATGATTATCTTATTTTTTTTCCAAACGTCATTACGATTGCTCTATTGCCATTGCGCTACAGGACTGAGTGTCCATTCAGAACTCTTGCAGTAACCGTTCATCATCACCCGGTCAAGAGAAGGAGACACCACAGAACTTCTTCCGAGATCCCTTCAAGTTACCTTTTTAATCCAGAGGAGAAATGTTTGTCGCAAGACAAAACCAATGCTCAGAAGAGATCACATTTTGACACATTATACAAAAAACAAAAACAAACTTCAAGCGATGCTTTGTTTATGTGCGATCAAGCAAGTCAACTGGCTACGGACAATAACGTGGTTTAATCACGAGTGTCTGAAAGCCATAATCAACTCCAAGATCTCTGCGGTGCCACCTGGCCTCGTCAAACCGCGCCTCTTTCAAAGTACAGTATCACGTACACAAACAGTCCCCAGGTTACGGAAAGGGTTCCGTTCCCCAGAACGATCCGTAACCAAAAATCTCCGTATGTCGGAAACTGAACAATTTCAGCCCAAAAATCAACGATGAATTCCATTTGCCTCAATCCTAGTGAAGCTCGAGCAAGATGTAAGGCTGCCCGCCTCGTGCTGCTCGCCTCGCGCCTCGCTCCACTTCATCCGCAACATCACCGCGCTGCACTACTTGCGCTTAGGCAGCTAACGCAAACATTTCCGCGCATTTAATTTTACGATTAATGGGAACATTTCTGTAAGGTCGGATTTCCGTAGGTCGGGTATTCCGCAACCGGGGGACTGTCTGTATGTGAACAGACCTCCGTTCTGTATCACCACATGCAAAGAAAATATTTTCCGATAAACATTTTGTTTTGTTTTGCCAAACCATCGGACTGTTGACTTTCCACAAAACAATATTACTCGGGCAGCGTTAATTTAAGCAGGAAAACCGAATCGATTCTTCGCCGTGGAGCTAATTTTTAAAATTAAAGTTACGATAAGTGAGCGGAGGGGGGGACAAGAGGAGGGGTGGGCAAGTGTCCCTGGCGGCACCTGAGCCGGGAGTTACTCACGCGGTCCATCAGGAGTTGCACCGCTTCCTTGGCCATGCCGAGCTCGTAGAAGAGGCGACACACCAGAGGACCGAACTTAAAGTCGCCCAACAAGAGATTGCTGTTCTCCGCGTGATATCTGCCGAGAATACCGAGCCAACGATCGCGCCAGACACGGGGTCAATGTCAACAGCACTGGGTTCTGGACCGCAGTCGATGTGGAAATCAGTGAAGCGAGGAGTGCCCTGGACAAACTTGATAGCCCATACACACACATATATTGTACAGATAGCCCATGCTAGTTTCATTGGAACACTTTGAAATCCCCTGTTGATAGTTTTTATTGTGTCATTTTCCCACAGATGGTCGCACATTGAACTTATAATATTTCACTTTTTCCATCCATTGAATCTGCTTGCTCCCAACAAACACCACCTGGTGGACAAACATATTTTGTGGGTTATTAAGTTTTATCCAGAGCATCCCTCAACCGTCACGATTTAAAGTCGCGATTCGATTCAACATCGTTTGTTTCGACATTGTGGTGATAGTAGTGCCTCTAGTGGCTGCAGGGGTAACCACACATCCTATTACATAGGGCACATGTGAATAAGCAAAATATATCCATTTTTACACGTACAATCTACTGCATGCAACGTGAGTGTGATAATCAATTTTAATTGCATGCCTTTGTAGGTATAGAACTAGCGGTATGAAAACCGACGGTAAGTTGTCAGGGGAAAATTCATTCGCATGTCCTACTCTGGTTTGTGTCTCAAAATTTTGGGGGAACATGTCACTAATTTGGCCGGTTTTCTCAGAAGGTTAGACCCTAAAAGCAACACAATTTTACACTTTAGTTTGGTAGACATTCGATCGTCTTTACAACGGTTATCGCAAGCCCTCCATCACAGACGGACAAACAGAAGAACAGAACCAATGTGCAAACACTTCCGACCATGTTTGGGAACCTATAATAATTTTCTTTTATATATATTTTTTTATAAACAACTGCTGGCCACTATCAACTGACCTGTATATGAGCTTGATGATTAGCTGTGCGTCAACTGGCGTCTGACATAAATGAACGGCGGTCTTTAAATCTTCCGTGAGGATCAACTGGTGATTGGCAAGCTTCTCTTCCATCAGCGCCATGTACGAATCTGCACAAGGTGGTTTAGGAAATGCAGTGTATCTTTTTCATGAGTAAACATACAATAAAGGTTTCGATTTAAAGCTTTCGTGACTGCGTGACTTTACCGAAAGAACCAAGAATATACAATAAAGGTCTTACACGAACAAAAATTACTAACGAAAAAAACTTCGCAAAAATGTATTAATATTTTCTTGCCATTAACCAGGTGATGAATATTGACCACTGCACCGTTTTTATATTGTTGTCCCAGTTATATTCCAATAATTCTGTCACTTGTCATCAGAGGAAGGCATCTCTATTCTGAACTCACACAGCAAGCAGTGCATCACCTTGTGCCAGTGGAGTTATTATTTAACACATCACTTCAACAGAACTCTTTATCCACATTACAGCGTGCAGATCTTATGCATCCAGCATAGTGTTCATCAAATGTAAATCAGTGATATTTGTTCTACATGTCAAATCTGGAATTGTAGCCAATTTAAGTGGAAAACCAAATTTAATGACATCTTTTTCGTGTAGCCACTGATGTGACCGACTTGAAGACAAACAATGTGCCTCAATTGAAAACTCGAGTACAGTAAAACCTTGGATTGCGAGTAACTTGGTCTGCGAGTGTTTCGCAAGACGAGCAAAATTTTTAAATAAATATTAATTTGATAAACGAGCGAGGTCTTGCAATATGAGTAGTACTTATACGCTTTGTCTGCCTAGCGTCACGTGATCACAACTGATATACGAGTGCTTTGACGTACGAGTGCTTTGGATTACAAACACGTTTCCAGAACGAATTATGCTCGCAATCCATGGCTTTACTGATTCCCCCTTACAGACAGCGACTGGGAATGCCAATAACATTTCACATCACCTATGACCATATCACTCGGAAAGCGCCCGATGACATCAGATCTCGAAAGCTAAGCAGGGAATTTGAGCCTGGACAAGACTCGGATGGGTGGGTACCAACCAGGCTGCTGCCAAGCTACATGGTGGGCAGCAAAGGGCAGTGCGGCAAAATCCATTGTTGTACTGTACCACGTTCCAACGCCTCCATGCTGTCCACCTTCACCAACCCCGCACTGCCCAGCATGGTGAAATGTGGTGAACAATCGCCCACGACCCGCACGGCAATGGAGGAACCCTCATCCAGGAGTGGACCGACAGGAGGTTGCGTGCGTGCACGAGGCACGTGGTAACGTACCTCGCTTCCCGTAAATTAGGCAGGCTGCAGCGATCTTCCTCTGCTGAAACTCCCTCAACCGGAGGACGTCGTCGGTGAGAAGATGCCTGCGAGCTAAAAAGAAGATGCAGGAAAAATCGCGTTCATGCGTGCATTTTGTAACGCTTTCCACCACGCCTTTATTTTGCAAAGTGATTAACTACTTTGCAAATAACGAATTGGAGTGCTCACAAGAAGCAGTCTGTCCGCTTTCAATCTCGGAAAGCGTTAACGAGACCTCTTTGGAGTGCGGCAGGCAAGTTCCTGCCACTGCAAGTTAGCACCACGCTTACCCTTATTTATCATAATCAGCCATGGCCAATCCACTGCTGGATAAAGGACTCGCCAAACAGTGACCATATCTCATGGCTCTGCGATTTCACCTCTCCATTTCCACAGCGGACGTCCCTCTCAGACGAATTCCCTCTTGTGGCTACCACTCCGACGTTAGTCTCGACCACCAACCATCACGCCTTATCAGCGAGGTGTACTACCAAACCCACGTACTTTTCTTAAGTCAATGACGGATGTCTCTGCCCTGCGTGCGTATAACCCTCGTTCATAGCTGTCATTCGTTATGCACACTGCCTAGGGTTATGTAATACAACGCAGGGATGATCCATTGATAAGATACTCCAGACAATAACAGGAATTTGAGAATACACTTCACATCAAAGCCTCGAACATTGTCTACAATCTGAATGTCTCCGACCGATCTCCACGCGTGTCCATGCCAACCAGTGCTTTACGCCAACCCATGGGCGCTGTGTCGATGCTTTATACCTTCACTTGCAAATTGCATTTCACATACATCCGCTTCTCTTTACATCTCATATAAGAGACACCCTTGGCCTGTTTCAACAACAACATCTCACACTATAATGGAGCAAAAGTGTGCGTTTGTTACTCTATCCGGATTTTTTTTATTTTTAAAACCCATTTTTTTGACCATGTAACATTTCTGAAACATTACTATTCAATTAAATATTGGTTGTATGTAGTTTTAAAAGTCAGTAAAAAATGTCGATTTGAAGTTTGGGAAACAGAACATCCGGTTTACGCCAGTCACTTTTGAGACGTCTATACAGGGACTCCTGTACTTACGAACATTCGACTTACGCACTTTCACAGATACGAACAAAGCTGGTTTGTAAGTCCAGTTGCCTTTTCGGACCGAGAGTCAAAAGTTAAACCGCCTCGCAATATATGGCGGTGGTGGCATCTACATCTGCAGAACGTAAGGAGCCAGTGGCATCTACATCTACAGGAGATTATACAACTTTTAAAGCCATTCACCGTGTTCAGTGTACACGCCGTACAACGTGTTTGGAATCGACAGGGGTAAAGTTGGACTTCCGACCAAATCGACTTACGAACAGCCCTCTGGAAGCTTACTCGTTCGTAAGTAGAGGAGTCCCTGTAATCAGGTCGTCATTGATCGTTTTACGACAGAAACAACTTCCAACACGGCTCGGAACACATTTGAACAAGCGATGTTTCTACCGTGCAACGCAGTAGAAAGTGAGAGGGGTTTATATTTCAAAAGGTAAAGCCACTCAAGCCGAGGAAGGAAGGAGACAAGAACAAATTATTTGAAACATTTAGAAAAATAGCTTTGTGTTAATTTCAGGTAAAATGTCACGCTCTGTACCGCACATGCACACTTAACGCTCTTGGCCTTTCAATTTATAGCACTAAAATATGTTCCGTGATGTTATTGTCGATTCATTTCTTAATTAAGAGTATTTTATATTTTACGACTAATAACGTTAGACTTCATAGGTTCTAATTGAAGAAGCCCTCCAGGTAAAGCTCACTGAGCTGTATAGCTCTTTGACAAATGATAGCTCACCAAAGTGGCTTATCATGTGGAAATGTATAGCAACCAAATACTATAAACCTCACGTTTCTAAATGTGGAGGAAAAAACCGGAGGACCCGGAGAAAAATCCACGCGACTACGGGGAGGCACATGCAAACTCCAAATATACAGCAGTAGCAGGCGTCAGGATCGAACCCACGACCTCGTGTGTACAAGGCGAGGTAGTAAACATCTCGCCACCGTGGCACCCACCAAGGAGATGAGGGCCCACAATCTTCTCGTAATTGTGCTGATGGGTCTAAAAACAATCTGCTCCAGCTGCCTTTGATTACAAGGGATTTTTTTTATTGTTAACATTGTGCAGTTATCTTCGATGTCTCTCATGTGACGCAGTTGTTTTGCCGCGATATATATTTGCTTAATTGCTCTATTTTGTTTTACTTTCATGTCAGCGACCCGGGTGGGTCGCTCTTGCAAATGAGATCCCTATCCTGGTCCCTTGAGTTCCCCATCTGCTAAAAAAACTAAAACTTGAACATGGTCAAGCGATGCAATTAATGTGAACCTGCAAAACATCCAACCCAGTTCTGGGTCGTGGTGAAAGTTGGGGACAGCATTATGATGGAGATGACACCGATAGTTACGGGTTGAATTGAGGGTTATGGTGAGGTCGGATTTAGGGGTTAATGCTGGGTTTACAACAGGAGGGTTGGGGTTATGGCTAGAGTTGGGGCTTCGGGCGATTGTTGTGTTCGGAGCTCTAGGAAGGGTAAGGCTTATACGTCTAGAGTTACCGATGAGCACGAGAGTAGGATAAGAGTTTAATGTAGGGCCAGGGTTGAGGCGAGGTTGGTGTCACGTTCAGCGCTCGCGTTGAGGTCACGGATCGGGTGACGGCAGTTGTAATGTTTGAGTTATTGGGTTAAGGCTGGCGGTGCGTGGATACAGGTTTAGATGACGGGGCTGGTGTAACGGCAGGTGAGTAGTGTATAGTCGTAAATGGTGAGAGTTAGGGCTAGTGTCACGGCATGCGTTGAGGTTGTGGTTGGGATCAGGGAAAGTAGTCAGGCTTCATCTTCTTTGGTTCTTTCGGTAAAGTCACGTAGAATGGGAATAAAATAAGACGATAAAATTCTCACGACGTTTCGGCCACGACACAAGTAGCCTTTTTCAGGTGAAAGAACAGAACTGTCGGGACGACAGAGCCCTTACCGCCTGCCGCACACGACCAGCACGACGGGGTCGTGTGCTTGTCGGCGTCCCACGGAGGGCCCCGGGCACGGGCCCCGGACGTCAGGAGACCCCGAAGCCCGTGGTGCCGAGCGCCTGAGGCCAGGAGGCTCATCCCGGGCCTTGCAGTCCTCAGCAGCGTCCCCATGGCGTCTCCCGCAAAACCCCTGCTCAGAGTGCGGGCCCGGTATGGAGACGAGGCCTCGGGTCTCTCTGGGAGCCTCCACGCGAGTGAGTTGTAAGTTTATCCGCTCTCGCTGGCCGCGGTGATGATGGTTGTGGTGATGGTGGGCACGGTGGCGCTGTTACCGGGTGCATGCGCCATGCCCTCTACGATCGCAGGCGGCTCGAAACACGTGTTACCGTAAACACGCCAAGCGAGACGCATTACCGTAAACATGCCAAGCGAGACGCATTACCGTAAACACCACAAGCGAGACGCATTGCCGTACACACCACAAGCGAGACGCGTTACCGTACACACCACAAGCGAGGCGCGTTACCGTAAACACCCCACGCGAGACGCATTACCGTAAACACGCCAAGCGAGACGCGTTACCGTACACACCACAAGCGAGACGTATTACCGTAAACACCACACGCGTAATGCATTACCGTAAACACGCCAAGCGAGACGCGTTACCGTAAACACGCCAAGCGAGAGGCATTACCGTACACACTACAAGCGAGACGCGTTACCGTACACACCACATGCGAGACGCGTTACCGTAAACACGCCAAGCGAGACGCATTACCGTAAACACTACAAGCGAGACGCATTACCGTAAACACGCCAAGCGAGACACGTTACCGTAAACACGCCAAGCGAGACGCGTTACCGTACACACCACAAGCGAGACGTATTACCGTAAACACCACACGCGTAATGCATTACCGTAAACACGCCAAGCGAGACGCGTTACCGTAAACACGCCAAGCGAGACGCGTTACCGTAAACACGCCAAGCGAGAGGCATTACCGTACACACTACAAGCGAGACGCGTTACCGTACACACCACATGCGAGACGCGTTACCGTAAACACGCCAAGCGAGACGCATTACCGTAAACACGCCAAGCGAGACGCATTACCGTACACCACAAGCGAGACACGTTACCGTAAACACGCCAAGCGAGACGCATTACCGTACACACCACAAGCGAGACGCATTACCGTACACACCACAAGCGAGACGCGTTACCGTAAACACCCCAAGCGAGACGCGTTAGCGTAAACATCACAAGCGAGACGCTACCGCACGCTGCCTACTTGTGCAACGTGTTAGAAAGTCGGTGGATTTACTCTCCAACACATCGGTGTGCTGTACTAGTGTCGTGGGTATTGTGAGCGTCACGCGGTTACCACGACTTACCTGGTGTAGCATCAGCCATGGGTCAACAGGGGGAAACGGCGAGTACGGCCTGGATCAAGTAACGCCCTTAGGCCAGGGAACCCAGAGGGCGGTTGGGAACCGGAGGGACACACCCCAGGCCCCCAGTAGGGGCTGGGGGATTACGCAATAATCCATGTCCCTGCAGAAGGTTCCAGAGAGTAGGCGTGGCCAGAGGCGGAGTGACCCTGGGAGCTGTATATAAGGCGGACCCCTGAACGGAGATGCCAGTCGTCGTCAAGCTGAAGACTGAAGAGCTGAGACTAGGACCCTGGGAACCCCCAGGGCCAGACGTCCTTCTAAGGGCCGGGACCAGAGGAGCTTAGCTGGGTTTGGTCAGCTAGTCTCCCCTAGGTCCCCCTAGCGGGAGGGCTGATATATACTGTATAGAGGTGGTCCCAGTGATTAGGACACGCTCGCCCGGAGGCGATACCTCCCCAGGGCATCGGCTAGAAGGGGCCGATACCCCTTTGTGTCAGGGACCTTGTGTTACCGTTATAAATAAACGCGTTGCCTCCAGAAAAGACCGAGTCTCCATCATTGCCACTACACTAGTAACGAATTGGCATGTTCTGTTTACGTGACAAATCTTACTAAATGGCTGTCGGGTGGTGGCGGGTTTAACAACACATTTACGCGATCTCACTCAAAAACATGTGTTATGGATATTGGTCGCGAAAGCCTACGTGTTCAAATGTTATAGCACGAGGGGATTGTTTTCCAACATGTTTATATCATTAAGAATGGTTGGAGCAAGTGCACCAATCCATGGAATGTCGTTAAAGAAATGCAACAGAAGAGCAGCATCAAGCCCAGTTGCAAAGACATCGACAAACTGATAAATCGGCAAAGATGAAAAGACCCAGAGCTCAAGCTCCTTTGCTGCAAGAGCCAATGATACTCCTCCATTGCATCATAGGTTACAATTGATGACCGAAGGCACCCCAAGCCCTCCGCCAGACATTAGAGATGAGGTCCCACAGGGCCCGAAATTTTCTAGTCATGGTTAATTGAGCAAACTACGGTATACAATAAAAAAACACGCAAACGAGAAGTTAAAAACAACAATGGATTATTATTTTTAACCCTGAAGCGTGGTGATTCGTTAAGACTCTCTGTGCGGCTCGTCTTTACTAAGGATATTCTCGCCAAGTGTCAACTTTTATTCAAGAGGGTCCTGCACGGGAATCTTTGGATACAAAAATCCAGTCACATTGAGACCTCTCACCATGTTGGTCCCCCCCACCCAACACCGTGTCCATGATGACAGTTGTTTAACCATTCTTTTAAAACACCCTGGTCAGTGTGGATTGGCCAGGTTCAGATATCGGTCGTAAATGATGTAGCCCTGACAAGGAATCGAACTCGAGCCATCAAGTATGTAATACAGGGTGCGAACCACTACACCAACACTCCCATATCAAAACCTAAACATCAAATAGCGCCAAATAAAGCATCGACACAATACGTTGAATGCATTTTCTTATTTATACACATGGGCTGGTACCATGCAAAATGTGAACATTTTTTGTGTAAAATTCGGGGCCATATACAGATTACAATACGGGTACTTTCGATTACTACTTTTAAATGAATCATTCAAAAATATTTTACATTCAAATGTATCAAAACAATATAACCTATACACGTACAAGGATGCATTTTAAACAGAACTCTAGAGAATTTGCATAAAAGTACGTTTTTTCTTCTCTCCCATTAGTTTTCACATGGCATCTGACGATGAGACCGGACGACATTCATCCCCTTCCTACCTTGCTTTGGTCAAGGCGATCGCTTCCTTGAGATCTACAGATCTCTCAAAGCCCTCCTCATGCTTCACGCCATCAACTCGTTGGTCTCCATTATTTTTAGACATCAAATTTAAAATGTTTTTTTGCACCAAAATCTTATCCTGCTTTTTCCCCTTATGGTCTCATTACTTAGTTTTTTGTAGTCTCAGTATTCCACGGATCCTCTTCGAGTTGATTTCTGCTACAAGTATCCTTGATCCCATCACCCATGTGTCCAACATTCGAATGAGATCACTAACGCCCCTTTACAGCCCGGCTTGTTTTCGTTTGGTCGTGGGATTGCCTTCGATTTCCAGATTTTGGTAAATTATGCCAAGTGCTGTCAAGGTCAATCCAATTTGTTAGTTAACATAAAATTGCATGAAGCACCCTTGGTCACTTTCCTTGCTAGAGACACACAAATCTGGCTCTAAATCCTAATTTACTAGCTTGATTGAGCTCCTCTCGATGTTTCCCCGTCATCCCTTTATATGTTTAGTTGGGCTCACACATGAGCGAACAGTTGCACAACCAAATCACTAAAAATAGCTTGCAAATAGAGGTTGTCTCTATTGTGAGCAACCAGTTGCTCACAAATGGTTCAGAAACAAAGTACATCCAAGCGTTTTTTGTTAAATACTTCCCAGGATAGAATACAAAATGTACTTCCAGCATTCAACTGCATGTTTACAAATATACAGCGTTCCTTAATTTATACACAATAGACGACATCATCAAGTTTTCTTTCCACTCCCCAAGACCCACTGGCCCTTTTTAGGAGGATGACAAGCAGCAGCTTTGCTCTTTTGCGTCGTGAACGATTCGAATCGCTCCCGTGCCTTTTCCCAGTTCTGGGCTCGGCGGCTGTTTCCGGCCGCCAGGAGGGGAGAGTCCGCAGGGAGTTGAGGAGCCGAGCCCAGCCCTGCCTGTTTGTTCATCGCATGCGGCTTTATCTGCAGCAAAACAAAAGGGGGGGGTGGGGGGGGGACGCAGGGGTCACATTTCCCAAATGGCAACGATAGAACACAAAAAATGTCAGAAGACAAAAAAACACGTGCAATAAAATGTTATGTCATACGTTATGAAGTTAAGCATCCATTTCATCACGATTGTTGTATTGTCGGACCATAAACAATGACAATGGCTTGAGGTCTTCAACCAGCAAGGGGACTGATCAAGGCAAATGATGATGAAAGTTTCACAACAGTAAAAGCTTAATTATGCAGCATTGTTCCACTTAATATGAATTTAACAAATAAAGCAGTTTAATAAAATGTTGTACTGTACCGGCAAGGGCGATATTTTTGTTACGTCAAAGGTAAAAAAAAATCATTTTGCATCAGCATGCCAGTGTGATAACTCAAGTACAAGGTGTGGCAAAGTTGAGTAACTAGTGATTTCAGGACCACGCTGTGTTTATCGTTTACTGCATAATATGAGCCAAGTGTGTTCAGACCAATGTGGACATGTTCAAGCATCCTGTGCGAAACGGATTGAGATGTGTCATCCACAGTTGGCGCATCTGTTATAATGTACTGTATCGATGTATGGTTCCTGCTTTTTGCCACACCCTGTACAAGTGTGTGTGTGTGGTGGCACCAACCGGTTCCTTAATGCCAGCACTGTCCCTTCCCAGGCCCTCTCCGTGCTTCCACCCCATCTTCTCAAGCAGCTTCCGCCCCTTGTTTCCTCTGTCGATCTCCCTGTAGGACAGAATGGCTGTCAAGCAGTAACGTGGCTGGGCTAAATGCTATAAAACTAAACTTTTTTTTTTATTTTACCAGGTAAGGCCCACTGAGTTATATACCTCCATTTTAAGAAGCGACCTGGCCACAAATGATAGCTCAACTAAGTGGCTTATCACGTGAAAATGTATAATTGTCAAATGCTCTAAAAAGGCATGTTTCTAAATGTGAGGGAAAAACCGGAGTACCCGGAGAAACATTCAAGCAACCACAGGGAGTACATGCAAACTCCAAATATACAGCAGGCATCAGGGTTGAGACCGAATCCACGACCTCCTGTATACCACGCGAGGTAGTTGACATCTCGCCACAGTGGCGCCCCTTTCATAATTTCATTAGATTGTATCCTTGATGCATTTTAATAGTGGTTCATAAACTGCACTGTGACCCCAGCAACCACAGTTAGATTCCTGGCCATGGCTACCATCAGTGGTGAGTCCAAACTGGTCCAGGCAACCACGCTTTGTCTACCCACACTGACCATCGGGGTCAAATATGATCAAACAATTCCCAGAACTGACACAGCCTTTATCTAGCAGTGGAATGACAAAGGGCAGTACATTAAGCTCAAGAAAACATTTATAATATCGCATGTGCTTTTAAATAACGATGTTGTTAAAGCGTAACCAACAGATACACACTTTCAGACTGGTAATTTTATTGTCAACGCTGCTTAGGGGCTAACGAACAGCATATAATGCCTTCCACACAAGGTGGTGCTCAGGACATAGACCCCCCCAAGTGTGTGCAGCTCACACACTCGTGCAAGGAGGCTGGCGCGTCGTCCTTGTGGTGGGGGTGCTCGCTCCCCACGGTGCGTCTGCGCTGCTCTGCACGGTTCGCGTACTTGGAGTTGTTGAGCACCTCCTGGTCCTCATGTGCACTCCCCTAACGCACCCACACAGAGGTACGGGCCAGAGACAGTTAACCAAAGGAAAACTCAACTTACATGTACAATTAGGTAAAGGTGCAGATCTGCAATCGTTTGCTCATGCCACTGCTAGCAGAAGGGCCTCCAAAAGTGAGCTGTAGGATAGCGCCTCCAGAGTGTATTTGGCCAATTCTTCCACACAAGCCAGACGTCTTGAAAGAGATCAGGAGTATCCGCAGTTTTCTCCACTACACAAGACCTGCCGGTCTAACTGTAGTGTACTCATGTGTGCTGGTGAGACAGAGGTGGATTTACTAAACATGTCCCTTTGTTTCAACTGGATATACAGTACAGGCACATCTCACAAAACCAGTGGTCTTTCTACAAGAATAATTTTTATTTAGCAATTTGAATGGGTGGCAGCGTAAATGATTTGCGAACGCCGAGGACAGGCACCTGCAATCACAGTGGTTCTTCGTGCGTGGCAAGTGTTACATTTGATGTTGTATTACTTTATATTAAAATAAAAAATTCGTATTTCTCACATTAAAAAAATTGTTCAAGATTGGGAAATTTTGGGGCCGAAACATATCTCAGCTTTTAACATGGGATCAATGGGAAAACGATGATTGTTTAACGAGTCTTCGTATCTTCTTGGTTCTTTCGGTAAAGTCACGTAGAAAGAACCAAGAAGGTGAATCCCTGCAGTCACGAAAGCTTTAAATCGAGTCTTCGTATTTCACAGAATGTTTTTATGTTGAACTTCTTTCGTATCTCGCTCGTTAAGCAATTCACGCCTGTATAACGTAGCAACACATGTAAAAATATCTGATTCGAGAAAAACCTATAAAGAATGAGCCACAACATGCAAATACAGGTTACTGGACAAAAATAATGCACAAACTGCTATAGACATGGCGAACTGCTTTGCTGTGCTTCAGAAGTGAATGTACATGATATTAAAAACGCATTACTGCGTGTGAAACGATCGAATTGTGAACATCTGCAGAAAATTAGTGACACCATGCACAGAGCGGATAGGTTACATTCAGATCTGACTTTACACTACCGAGTGCAGATTTACAGATTTAAATGTGCTTGTTGTTGTGTATGGTCGTTTGGTCCTACGATGACAAATACTGCAGGAAAAAAATGTCAAGAATGTAATTTCAGGAGTCGCGAAATGCTACCAATACCTGAAGGCCATATTTCGCTTTCATCTGTTTCAACTCCTTGAGGCGAATTTTCTCCTTCTCTTTCTTGCTCAGCAACGAAAAACCTTGTGTCGGTACAGTGATGCACACACAACTTCAATTCTGATGATTGCATTTTTATACAGCCAATTTCCAGGCAATAGCAAAATATAAACAAACCAACATCAGGGAACCCACTCCCCCCAGACAACACTGGAAGCAAGTTGGGGGCCTGCTGTGTTAATCATTTGAATGAAATAAGTAAAGAAAATATTTGTGAAGTGGGTTTTTTTGTGAAATGATTCAGCGAGTGAAATTTATCAAACTTGACTATGATCTAAGCAGGACTATGACAAGTCGAAATTAACTAGTCTGAACAAAGAAAACGGACTAAGATGATTGATGCTATTAGAGACTGCTATGCACCGAGGAAGGCAAACAAAATGGTAATTGGCAATATATACAACAAACATTTTGTGAGTTCATTGATTAGCTCATATTCGGAGATTGGGGAAATTGCCTACCCTCACACCAACATTTCATAACGAAGAGTAGGGCTACTTTTTTTACTGGTTGAGCTGACTCGACAAAGGGAATGATGACGAACGAGATCCACAAAGAATGTGACTAAAATAAAAAATATGATGAATGTAACACTGGTAAGGCTATTAGCTAACCAGCAGATGTGCATTTGCCGTGCATGCTAGCTCACCAGTCTGTGGAGCTTGTTTCTGGTTCAGACGCAGGTGCGCGATTACTTGCCCCGGCTCGCAGCCATCGCATGTCTCGGAGGCAGGGTGGATGTGGAAGGACAGCACAGTCTCCCCAAACTTCACCTCATCACCATGGTCCAGGGGGTGGGGGTCGCTGTGCTCTTTTGGCTGAAGGGAAGTTCGGATAGGTTGATCGTTAATCTGCGTGTTCGACTTGCATAACCTCATCCTGGTGTCTGATGCTTTCTTCCCCCAACCCTGTGGCCTAGAGCCCTAGACAATCAATTGTTGTCTTACCAACCTCATACTTGGCTGGTCGTGCTGTCAGATTCAATGCAAGATCCATGTTGCCAGGTCGGTTGGTCAGCACATGGCTACACTGCTGCAGCAGGGTCACAGCATTCCCAGTGCTGTACCGGACCCAACTTCGGATCCACAGACACATATAAGCCCATATCTCCCTTCCTCCTCCCTCTCTAGCGCTGTTCACAGTCTGTTTTATATGCTGCTCTCTACAAAATAGGTGCCATACCAGGACCTACTCAGGAACTTGCTTGGCCTATTAAATTAATCACCACCTGCTGTAAATCTGCCGCCCTCCCCCTCAATTAACTCACCAACACAATGCACATCAATTTCACCCGTAAGAGACTTGCATAAGGAATCTTTACGAGGTGGGCTGGGTGGCACACAGGACAAAGAGCTGAGCTTCCACCCAGAGATCATGGGTTCAAATGCAGGCTGCCACCTATGATTAAACAGGGAGCTGAAGGTGCAGCAAGTCGATGATCTAATTATGGTAAAAATTGACTGCACACAAATATACATCACGTTAGATTAAATCCGACTCCACACGTAATGTGTCAAACTGTAGTAGAACGGGTGAAAAATTGCTGGCCTCCAAGGCATGGACCAGGTCACTTGAAAGGCTCTCAGAGGTAGCTCTGTGATATGTTTCTGTCGGATCTTCTCTTACACAAAGGCTTGAACTGTTCTGCGAGAGTTCGAAATAGATTATTTGTCCCGTGACATAACGCCGATAACGCAATCAGGCTAATACTGGGGAAAAACGTAAAAAATAAGGAAACTTTACAATCCTACTCACCTTTAACATGAAAGTAACTGAAACCACTATCATGTGTCACTGTTACCATCCCATATCACCTCCGATTAGCACGACTGGCTCTACATTTAGTTGTTTTCATTTATTTTTATTTTATTTTTTACCTACGTGACTTTACCAAAAAACCAAAGAGTACGATTGGCTACGTATGGTGCGGAAGAACTTCAACATACTTACGTCACCAGAAATAATCAGCTTGTTTCCAACTTGCCAGCTTTTAAATATTTAAGATTGTGATTGAACAATATCTTAAATAATTTCTTTGTTTTGCTGTGTGTGCAGTACCTGCAGGATTCTGTTTCCATTGATGATAGTCCCGTTCTGGCTGCCCTGGTCCATGAGGACATACTTCTGCCTCTCAAGGTCAAAGTGCACTTCTGCATGAAACTACCGAAAGGAAAAGAATATACAATGATAATGCAAACACTGAAGGATAATTGCTTATATTCTATAAACAATGTGCTCCATTAGCTTCATACCTTGCTGACACCCATTTCTGGAATGCTGATGGTGTGGTCCATGTCCTTTGCCCTGAAATTCAAAATATATGTATCTGTCAAATCAGGACATCCATCTGTGTCTTAGGGAAAAAAAAAACACCTATAAAAGGGGGGATTACTCAAATGTCCGAGTTTCAGTCACTGATGTGGGAGGGATCATACCTGCCGATAGTGGCGATGGTGTCCGATGTGATGATGAAGAGAGTGCCCGGATTGAGAACTGGAGAGCGAACCACCATCACCCTGATGCAGGGTGGCCACTGCTGCTCTACTTTAGCACAAGAGAAACATCAAAAGTGGTTAATTTAAATACCAATTAACCAGCAAAACAACACCAGTACTAGTCTGGGAGTTTTACTTTTTAAAACAGGAACACATATCTGTGAGATCTAAGTAAAACAACACATGACAAAATCACCCGTAATGTAGCCAATCTCGTCAGATCTCGTAAGGTAAGTAGGATTGAGCCGGGATGGTTCTTGGATGGTCGACTTAAGTCGTCAGCAGCAGAGGAAGTGCAGACAAATTAAGTGTTGTACTGTGATTCTACGCTCCTACATTCATTCTCCTTGCATCAGCAATCAGGCACTGACCCACACTGGTGAATTACAGTCAAACAACACACCTTGTGGATCGTGGGGAGGTCCTCATCCACCATTGAATTGACAAAATGGCTTTACATGTAAGTATCTGTGACATCCTAAGTATGGTAATAATAGTGCCACTATTAACATGTTCGTTCACGCCCCGAATGACACTTGCAATATTTATAATATTGAACATGTATTCACCTTCCGAGTCATCGCAGACGTTACTTTGGGTGCTGCTATCGGAGGAGCTGTGGCTACTGCTTGAGGCGGAGTCTTCCGAGTCCGATATCTCCCCCTCCTCCGTTTCGCTACCGCGCTCTGTGGAACTACTCCTCCGCCTGCGCCTCCTCTTTTCCCTCCTTTCCCTTTCCTCATCTTCATCGTCCGTGATACAGTCGACGGCCTTTCTGTGGTGCCGCCCCGATGTTTTGAGCCGCTTTTTAGACCTCTCCCGCTCTGCCTCCCGGCCACGTTTCCGCTCCCTGCTGCGCCGCTTTGTACTACGGCGAGCTTTTTCTTCTTTCTTGAAAGCCAAAACAGAAAATGTCGACAATCACTATGTTTTGCTTTCAAGAATTATCGCTGTGTTAAAATTCAATTTGCGAGGTTAATCAATTGAAGGAATCTGTCAATACAAATGAGTAGTGACATTCATTGCAATAATAGTTTACTGCAGTATATTCCAAATGAAATGCGTGGCTAATTATAAAGGAGATTTGCATGTAAACCAAACAGCAGTTATAGCGGAAACTTTGGTGCTAAAATAATAGCCTCAACTGCCTATCTTGCCACACTATGCAATTCAATAAGATGTAAATAAATAAATCTTTATTTTATGTGCTAATATCGCCCTCAATAAAGTATGCAACAGTGCATTTTCAAAATTAACTGAAAATGAAAAATATATGTATTGCAGTTTAAGCAAATAAAAATTGTACTGTAGTATGTGTAAAGAAAATGATATTGTTTACCATCAAACTGGCCAGAGTATCCAGATAGGTTCAGATTTTTCAATGAGCCTGTCACCTTATAGAGCTCTGCCTAATCAAAACAAAAAATACAGATATAGAAATCAATACTCTGAAGAATTTGTTATAAAATATCACGTTTATCATGTATATTTATAGTACTACAAGCACATTACTTTTGTTCACAAAAGCTGCTGTTTGGTTTGCAATACCTTCCATGCTATTAATAGTGCACAATTAGACTTGTTCAGAACCAACAGCAATGAACAGTCAAGCAATGTAAAGTTCTCACCTCCAAATCCTTTTTCTTAGTTTTTTTCTTCTTGGTTTTGGTGGTGCCCTCTGCTGGTTGGAGGTCAACCGACGTGTAGTATTCATATGTACCCTTTTCGCTGTCGAAGTAATAGTAATGCCCGTTGTTGGGGTCATAATACATTTGTGTGGTCTGTAAAAATACAAAACACAAACATATATATCTGGAGGAACAGATTCGATAGTTTAAGCAATGGTACTAAACATGTGTGTGGAAGGCCCAAAAGTCAACCTACAATAAATGGTGTTCAGTCTTCCAGTTAAATTAGTTAAAAACTGCCACAAAATATCTACAGCCCTCTTGTCAATCCGCTACTGGATGACGGCCAGCTCACACCGTATCAGTCAAGCGGTTAATGAACCACAAACTGCAACACATAAAAATTGGTCTAAAAGCGCAAATAATTTATTTTAACCAAATAAAATTAGCACTTCTAGATTTAAAGCTTTCGTGACTGCAAGGATCCATACTCTTTGGTTCTATTCGGTAAAGTCACGTAGGTAAAAAATAAAACAACAAAAATCACGACGTTTCGGCCACAACACAAGCGGCCTTCATCAGGTGAAGGGGCCAGACTGTCTCGAGGACAGCGCTGGAGTGAAACACAGCCAAAGAGTATAATTAGCACTGCATTGCAAGATAAAATTGGTATGTTAATGTTTGGTACAATTACCCTTCCTTGCAATAGAGGACAGCAATTGACCCGATTTAAAGAGTTGTAAATCCCATTTTACAGCAACAGGCAGAGAAAAAAATAATTCCACTTAAAATTACATGGGGGACAATGTAGGAACGGTGTGGGCTTACAGCGTCGTAGTAGAACCCGGTGGTGTAGTCGTAGTACAGTCCCGTTCCCTCGTCGTACACCATGCCCGACTGCTGCATGGCGTCCTCGGCCGCCGCTCGTAGGCTGTCCGCCAGCGACACCCCCTCCGCCTCCACGGCTGCGGCTTCCACGGTCGGCTCTTGAATCCGTGATGTTGAATTTTCCAGAGGCTGCTGCTGCGGCGGCTGCTGCTCAGACTCCACCGCCTCTACTGATGGATACTCCGAAACCCCATACTCGTAGCCTGCGGTACAACAATGAAAAGCGTCGATCTTGTCAAGGCATGCGATGCATCACTGCGCTTAAAAAAACAACAATAAACAAGCCAAAGTGTCTATTTACCAAGCTGGGCAGTGTCGGCAGTGCCATCAGTTTGGGTTTCCGCATCCGTCTTCTGCCTTCGACACTTCTTCAGTTCGTGCACCTGCTTGCTAAGCACCTCCACCTGTCAAAACAGAAACATGCCACTAGCACTATGTGAAATATAAACACATCATTGCCAAAGATGCTCTTATTCAATTCAGCTTATGAATATTCACGTGTCAAAGGCAAGCGATTTTCAGTAACTTTCATTACAACTGGCGACATGTTATTTTTGTGTAATAATTAAGCATGTGGAATAGTGAGAGGAGCAGTGCTATTATATGGTGCAGAGATGTGGGCACTGAGGAAGAGTGCTTGAAAGAATAAAGGTGAGAATGCGGAGACGGATGCTGGGAATAAACAAGTACCTCCGATTAGCACGGTTGGCTACGTATGGTGCGAATTATGTTATACATGCATATAAAGGAGGTGGAATGAAGAAGTCATAGCCTTAGCAGACGTTGCTAATATTTTCTAAAAGGAAAGGGAGGCTAGAGAAGAGACAAAGAAGATGCAATTAGAAGGGCTATGTAGATTTCAGTGCAGGACAGAACAAGTATAAGGAGACAAAAGGTGATGTAGAATGATGTAGTTGAATGAGATATGGCGGTGGATGTTACGAGATAAGAGGCGCAGAATAGAAGTACAAAATGGCCATCTAAGTAGCCGACAGCATACTTTATAAAATGGAACACATGGCTTTGAAGAATGATTTGGCACCTGAGCACGCAGATCATCATTGTAGCGCTGAACTGTGCCGTGAAGCTGCTCAGCTTTCTGCAGCCGCTTACGACACAGAAGCAGCTCTCTCCGCAGGATCTCTGCGTCCTCTGGAAGGTCTGAGAGCTCCTCTGCTCTAACACCATCTTCCTCAAACTCGTCATCGGTGTCCCCCCGTCTCCCACTCTCCGCCAATGCGAGGGTCTCCTCTCCTCCATCCCCCTCCTGTGTCTCCGCACTCTCCCCTCGCTGCATCGCCGTGTCGTCTTCTTCCTCCTCCTCCTGCCACGTTCCGGACGGCGGTGGGTCTTCTTGTAAAGTCAACTTCTCACACTGGACACCCCCCCCTCCACTTCCATTTTCTACATGCTCTCCGTGCAAGTTGTTCTCATCTATGCCGCACACGTCGTCCATCTCCTGTTGCTCCATTTCCTTCAAGTCTTCGTAAGCCCAGGTACAATTCTCTGCATGCACGCAATCAATATCATTGAAATTAATAATTTAAATTGCAAATTGATACAAATTATGCAGCGTGCCATATTTTACACTTGTCCACGAGAGTCTGATTAGGTTAATGTGTAACCAGTGTGGACACATTTTAGCATCTACACTGTTTGCATTATTTATCATTTGCACATGAGCATTACAACTCATCTTCCAAGGTGACAGTGCGATTAGAAAGCTTCACTCACAATAGAAAGGTGAACCATTCAAATCTCTGATATATCGAGGGTCGATAACCTTAAGTAACACTTCGTGGGAAATCAAGGTATTGTCCAATGGGATAAAAATTATCTTGGCATAGGAAAGTGTAAGTTCCATCACTGTCCTCAGGGTTGCCAACGAGGACGAATACCACCCAATACTTGCTTGAGCATGGAGTGTTTACACAAGTGCTGATAATTGGTTCGTATTCAGACTGGTTACTTTGCGACGTTTACAGACTGCTGACATTGGTTAGCGTGTAATGGTCATAGTGGCCCAGCGATTACGCTCGTGTTTAGTGTGTTTAATGTCAAAGTGAAGCGGTCAACGTGGAATTTCCACACGACTAGAAGTTGAAACCGACCTCCAAGCATCTGTTCTCTTTATGTAGTATCGCCACCATCTGTAAATTTAGGTCTTCCAATTGGTCACCAACCTCTGGGTGTCATTCCAGTGTCTGTCTAGGTGACTTGCACTTCTTAGTTCTGCACAAGTAATCAACCCACTGCAACCTACTCTTACCAATCACATCCAACACCGCTTTCCCATCACGTTCTGTCCCAAGTCCACATTGCTTACGCAAGTCTGAAATTGATTTCCTAGGATCATCCACGTGCACCTATATTCAAATCTCAATATTCTTCAGTCACTTTAGTTCAAGTCCAGTCCTCTGCCCTAACCCATGCAGTAAAACAGACTACCCCTGCCTCAAGCATATCGACATAATATGCCGACATCTTAACTCGTCCTGTATCAAGCACACGACTCCCTAGACAAAATAAAACCTCTACTAACCTCCACATTCTCACTTCCTACATGGGGTTTAACGATGCATGTGACCAACTGTAGCAATTTGATTAAAATATATACAGGGCGGCCCATAAGTCTGGCATCATAGGCAGGGGCGGAGCCAGGATTTTCACTTTGGGGGGGCTGACTTCAATATTCTGATATATCCAGTGTTTATGTTTTCCAATGAGCGCCACAAATGTATAAAACACATTTTATTGGATTTGAACGCGGAGTGTATTAATAGGTCGGAGCCGCTGATAAGTTCGAAAGGCTGCCGCTCAAGCAGCCTGCAGGGCAGCACACAAGGTGACAGCCTGCAGGGCAGCACACAAGGTGGCAGCCTGCAGGGCAGCACACAAGGTGGCAGCCTGCAGGGAAGCACAAGGTGACGGCCAGCAGGGCAGCACGAGGAAGCAGCCTGCAGGGCAGCACGAGGTGGCAGCACAAGGTGGCAGCCTGCAGGGCTGCACAAGGTGACGGCCTGCAGCATTTTGCAGCAGCCGGATATCCGGGTATCCTGATTACAGACTTTTCCAAAATTTCAGGGGGAGCTGAGCCCCCCCCGCAGCCCCCCTGTGGCTTCGCCTCTGATCATAGGTAACAATAACTAATTCATACGATTTTGTTTCTGCAGGCCCAAGATGTCTCTGAGTAGTAAGGAAGAACGAGTCCAGATAATTCGCCTCGTGGGAAATGGAGAGTCAGAGGGAGGTCGCTGTTGAATTTGAATAAAAGCGGTAGTCTTTAAAAAAAAATCCTATGATTCCAGACTCATGGGACATCCTGTATTCGTGTATATATCTTAACATAGTCGTGAATGTTGCGGATACTAGCGGCTAGAGAGGAGACGCGTGCAATACACGTACAGTCCGTTCGCCGTACACAGGCCCTTTGTCAGATCCACCGCTGGATGAGCGCTAGAGCGACCGGCTCACAATTGGAAGCGTGTGAGCAGCGGGGTGTGTGTTGGTCTCGGCCCACCATCCCTTCGAGGGGGTCGATAAAACGACTACCACTTTGTTAGGGGGTGGGGGCGGGGTGTGTGAGTACAAATTGAAGGCGATGGCAGAGACTCGACAGCCCCGGGCATCCGGACAAGAGCCGAGCCAGCCACGAATCCTCCACGCCCGCTCAACTTGAGCGGGGGAAATCACCGCGACTCTCGACTATCCGTCAAGTCAAATAAAGACGACAACTACGTTAACATGTTAGACGTATGTAGCGGCGTTTACCTGGTGCCGTCTCCTCGCCGCCGCCCTAGCCGCCCTAGCCGCGGAGTGCGCGAGTCGCCCCGACGGCCCTCCGGCCCGACTCGAGCCGCACCTGCGAGACACGGACGACATGAGGGCGAGGGGGGGGCGAACAGCAGCGTGAGGGAGATCGACACGACCGGGGGGGGTCTCACGCTGCCGAGGAGGAGGCGGCGTGGTTGTTGTTGTTGTGGCGGGACGGGGGGGTGTGTGCTGCTGCTGCTGCTGGTGGTGGTGGAGGAGGGAGGCGGCGGGGAACCTGAAGCGGCTACAGCGGCGCGGGACCCGACATCTTAGGCCGGCTCGTCAATTCGATTCCGCTACTGAATGCGATTCGATTCGGGAGCGGATCGATTCCTTCTTGGTCGATTTTGTGGGAACTCTTTTTGGCCAATATCGAAAGTATGAAAAAAATAAGAATTTTATAAAACGTAACAAAGTATGAAACAATATCAAAGGGTAAAACCGATTCTTATTTTTTCAAGGATCGATTTTTTTTTTTTAGAAAGTGAAGTATAAATAAAACGTCAAAAATTATCCTTGATAAAGGTTTTTTTTGTCCTTGGATTAGATCGCGTACATATAGATGTTGTTAAAGTCTTCACAATTCTGGCTAAGGGGCCGTCCATAAATGACGTCACGCACCTAGGGGGGGGGGGGGGTCAGACATTGGTGACGATGTGTGACGAGGGGGGAGGGTTTGAGAAATGTGACGTCACATCAAAATGCGCAACTTTAAATAAATATAGAATTGTTATAACAACACTTATTGTGATGACTCCTACAACATCAGAGTGCAGTGCCACATTAAATACGCACTACAATGGCAATAGTTTAAAGCGATTTTAAGCATATTCTTGGTTCTTTCGGTTAAGTCACGTAGAAGGGAAACAATAAAATAATAAAAATATAAAACAATAAAATTCTCACGACGTTTCGACTGCAACACAAGCAATCATCATTAGGTGTGAGCCCACAGCAAGAACATTTGAAAAAAGTGGCGGTTTTTTTTTAACGTTAGCACCACGGACAGCGATTTGGCAGTTTGTTCAGATGGACGAGTCCATCTATGTTCGGAAAAGAGGAGGGGGGAGACGAAAATAATGGATGCGGTCTGAAAGCCACCGTAAGCGTGAACAATCAATTAAGACCCGAAATGGTTTATGAAATCCTTCCAATGATTGCTAAGCCAGAATCCATCTTCTCGGTTGAAATTGTCTCTGTGATTGTATATGTGGATAGCCTCATGAACGAATCTCTCATGGTAGCCAGATGGCTTGCAGAGAACCTCTCTCTTGGAAGCATGTTTTATTTTCTAAATGGAAATATGGTTTTGGGGGGGGGAGGGGCAGAGCTTTGTGACGTCATATTTGAGGGAGGGGGGGTCTGACTTTTTGTGACGCCGTGTGACGAGGGGGGAGGGGTCAAAAATCGTCCAAAATCGCGTAACGTCATTTATGGACGGCCCCTAACCGCCTGATGAAGCTGGTTGTAGTCACCGGCGAAACGTAGCACTCTAATTTAGTGGCGGTTCGTGGCATTGCCACGAGGTGGCGCTGTTGTGAATGACCTGAAAAGATGGTGTTCTTATAAAGAACAATCTCGTCGTGTTATTGGCCTTCCCGTGAAAGTGATGTAACTGTGTTATCTACCAACGGTGAGGCGTTTACAAACAATACGAAACAAAGCAAAGCACTCAAATGCCTTCCCCATGACCCTCAAGTCCACACTACACAACTTTGACACTGCCAAAAGCCTAGAGCGTGTAGACCGTGACCTGCTTTATTTCCACAGTGCCACCTCGCGTTGTGACATCGTCTCTCATCAAAGCCACGCTTTTCACCACCCAGAATGGGTCCTCAAACGGCGTGGCTACAATGCTAGAAGCTGATCGCAACGATTGAACGGAAATTCTCTCACATGGACGCCTTCACAGCCGCCCCGAGACCTCCCCGAAGCACAATTCAGACCGTGGCGTTGCAGCGGTTTCTAATACGAACAACTTCAAATGTCATCTTCATTAGGCAATTCACGTTGAAAGAATCAAAATATTTTATTGGTTTTAAGGGGCCGTCCATAAATGACGTCACGCGATTTTGGACGATTTTTGACCCCCCCCTACCCATCGTCACACGGCGTCACAAAAAGTCAGACCCCCCTAAAATATGACGTCACAAAGCTCTGCCCCCCCCAAATATGAAAACATGCTTCAAATCGCTTTAAACTATTGTCATTGTAGTGCGTATTTTATGCGGCGCTGCACTCTGATGTTGTAGGAGAAAACATTTATTAAAAAGTCGATTTCATTAAGTAGAACGTGTTGTCTTTATTTATTTAAAGTTGCGCATTTTGATGTGACGTCACATTTCTTACCCCCCCCCTCGTTACACATCATCACAAATGTCTGACCCCCCCCCCCCCAGGTGCGTGACGTCATTTATGGACGGCCCCTAAACACAACACTTTTTTTTCGAAAAGTATTTTTTATTTGAAAACTAATTTATGATCTCCAGCTACTTGGTGGGGGTGGCGCCCTAACGCTAATGGCATACCGTGTCAACCCATACGGTTTACCAGTATTATTGTACAGGGAAATTGAGTTTTCAGGTTCATAAGGTCTGAATTGGTCTGTAATAAGGTAGGGCACTGATAAGGGGTTGACAGATATGAGAGTGTGTGGGTGAGTGTAGTAGTGGTGATTGTCTATTTGTTTGTGTTTCTCCCTTGTGATGTGACTTTGTAGAATAAACGTTGAGATTTATAAGGGTGACCAGTAAGGTCTGAATTGATCTGGATTACCAAGACGACAAGCATAACCCACGAATGGAATAAACTCCAACGAAGTTAAATAGAGATCGTCAAAAACAACAATCATTCAATCGCGAGCGAGTTCACAATGAAAGCAAAATCTACAAATTTCGAGATAAAACGAAGTATTTGTTGATTATTTGTTTGAACAAATTCGTCAATAAAACTGGGGCCTGACTATATACAGTAATAGGCAACGTTTCGGGTAATGGCCCTTCTTCATAGCACTTAGGCCACATACATTGGATAACAAAAGTCTGCGACTGCACGTTACGTCGCGTGGCTTGATGATAATTGAGATTTTAAATTGTTTCCTGGTTAACAAGTTATTGTATTGGCGTATGAACAGTTAAATAATTCGTAACCGGTAAACCCGTGATCGATTTCAAATTAAAGATTATTTGGGGATACTGCGGTAGACCCTGGTGTACAATGACAGATACTAACTCAAGATATTCATCAAACACTTATGTGACATTAAAATAATTAACTCGAACGAGTGGCTACAGAAGTAGAACACTGGGTTTCAAATTTTATATATATACATACTAGCGGGAAGTACCCGGCGTTGCCCGGGGGAAATGTATATATTAAAAAACTTCTAAGAACTTAAAAACATAACAACTACAAATGAAAAGAAACTTTTATCATTACCTCATTAATAAAAAAAATAAAACCCAACGCGCGGTGGAGAGAAAAAAAGCGCCAAGATTCGATTCTTTAAATGGCGCAGAGGAATCGAAGGTTGTAGGTTCCTTTAGAATCGGCCTATTTCCGTTTAATCGATACCATAAACGCTGACCAGATATCGATTCTCCGCACACGCTTCATGATCCACCCCCGAAAATACAAAATTAAATGTTTATACGTTTTACATTGTGTACAGTATGGGAGCTAGCCACGTGGCAAATTAAAAGTTTGTGACCTATTTCCCCCCACCCCAGCCGCGCATTTGTGCGGGATACACGGCCGACGCGGAGGGTGACGTTTTAGTTAATTTATTATTTAGTTTCATTTATTTTGGTATAGCGCTGTGAGCCATTCGGCTCTTCAATCGGGTGCAACCGCAACAAACAAAAACATGAACAAGAAAACATCTTAAAGTGACTTTGTGTGACTGTGCAAACAGAAAATCCAGGAAAAAAAACATCAAAATATTTCTGAAAAAAGCACCGTACACCAACGCTGTGTGCAAAAATCCCAGTGGGATGCAAGTCAAACAACAAGAACAACCACAAGACAACTTAGATTAAGGCCATCAGTCTAACTCCGTACTACAATAAACAAAAACATGGCCAAAACAAAAAAAAACGTTTTTGAAATCACCAAAATAAAAGCCATAAATGCAATGTAACAGTGATCATAGGGACTGTGACCGAATTTTTAACAATAAACTACATAAATAAATTATAACACCAAAATCTAGAGCCATATTTTAGGCCAATAGCAGTGGCAGCTAGGGGTGTACAACTCCTCTAGAGCAGTTTTGAGTGAAGATCTCATAGGTAGTGATTCAAGTTGCAGTTTATTGGCAATAGCATTCCAGACCCTGGGGGCATCAATAGCAAAGGCCCTTCCTCCAGTTTTTGTACGGCAATAGGGAATGTGCAGCTGGTAAATGAGCGAAGACCTGAGGTCAAATTTGTTCTTTGAAACAGAGAGGAGATCCAGTAGGTAGTCTGCGGACTTTTTGTAAGTACATCGTGAATAAATAAGATCACGTCAGCACACACACTGCGTCGCGCTGCCGATTGCGGGTGACATGACAGAGGTGTGACGTCACAATTCACTTGCCGTGCAAAATAAACTGTATCCATTTTTGCGCCCCCTCCCCCCCACCAAAAAAATATAGAAAAGTGTATTTTTATATTTTTTGCATGGTGTACAGTCTGGAAAGTACCCACATGGCAAATTTCAAGTTTGTTGCATGTCGGGAAGTACGTTAAACATTTTGAACAGACACACATTCACAAATTTCCCTTTCATATATAGATATATATAGATACCTTCTCTGAACCTTCTGGAAGGTCCTGCCAAGTTTTCACAGTAGGGGGCTCTGTTGCTACGTGTTTGCATGGCGCTGGCCCACAATGTCCTACTTCGAATGACATCACGGGATATTTTTAACGACGACTGAGTGAAGCGGACGGCACCGTCTTGCATGGTTAACACACCCGCAGTGCCGTAGCTGAATGTTAAAGGCGCAGCCCTGCAATGACTTGTTCACCCCACTGCTGGTTGAAAAGGGCCATGGCTGGAGGGAGCCAGATGTCTTTGGTTGGAGTTCCCACGCTTTAGCCCACCGTTGGTGTACGGTGCTATTTCAGGAATATTTTGATGGTTTTTTTTCCTGGATTTTCTGTTTGCACAGTCACATAATCACTTTAAGATGTTTTCTTGTTCATGTATTTTTGTTTGTTGAGGTTGCACCCGATTTCAAGAGCCGAATGGCTCACAGGGCTATACCAAATAAATAAACTATGAACTAACTATGAACTATGAACAGTGATCTGTTGACAGACTGTGGTGTGACCCATGCACACTGCTGGATGGAGAGAGTCGGGGTAGATTTAAAGAAAGTTTCTCCATTGTTATGCGCTGCCGCACCGCGAAATTTAATCGAACAGGCGACCTCTGCTGGACTGTAACTTCGCTTTGTTGCTACACATTAACAAATTGCGGTGGTTCGCTTCGTTGACCATACTTCACCATGCTGGTCAGTGCGGGGAGGCACAGGAACGTGTTGGACATCACTCGCCACTGATGTTAGCCGTTGCAGGGAATCGAATTCAGCTGGCGCAGTTTATATGACAAAGTGTGCATTCCGCTTTGCTACCGTTTCGTCCGATGCCAACATATACGCGTCAAAACATGCTTGCAACAAAAATAACGTCCTTTGCAGTGATTGACTATACGTGAAAATAACATTCTGTTAATGAGTTAAAATACAAATATGCACCTCCGATTAACACGGTTGGCTATGTGAGGTGCGAAAAAAGTTTTTACATACATATAGCTTATATTGTGTTCTCGAAATACCGGATTATTCAGGGGTGGGATAGCCAGATATTATACCACATTCTGGACAAAAAAACCACGTAATTTCCATGAACACCAAATTCAGCACTTTTTCAGCCTTATTATTTATTATTCCATGGGCATCTTTGCAAACGAGATGTTCCACCACAAGGGATTATCCAGGTGTTACAATTAAATACGTAATTGCACAATTAATGCTTAGACGTCGATTTAAATACGTATAATGTAAGGTGTGAAGTAACTTAAAATAATATTGACTTAAAACTGTCGTGACTGCAGAAATTCATATTCTTTGATTCTTTCGGTAAAGTCACGTAGATAGAAACATAATAATAAAAATAGAGTGAATAAAAAGAAAATTTAAAAAACTAATGTAGACTGGAGCCTGGTTCTTACTCGGAGTGAGTGCACTGGCAGTCTATAATGTAGACTGTAGTCTGGTTATAACGCTCAGTTGAATAACCATTGCTACAGCCTACATCATAGACCGCCAATACGCTCACCAGCTTAAAAACCAGGCTACAGTCTACATTATAGACTGCCAGTACACTCACCGAGGTTAAGAACCAGGCTACAGTCTACATTATAGACTGCCAGTACACTCACCGAGGTTAAGAACCAGGCTACAGTCTACATTATAGACTGCCAGTACACTCACCGAGGTTAAGAACCAGGCTACAGTCTACATTATAGACTGCCAGTTCACTCACCGAGGTTAAGAACCAGGCTACAGTCTACATTATAGACTGCCAGTACACTCACCGAGGTTAAAAACCAGGCTATAGTCTACATTATGGACTGCCAGTACACTCACCGAGGTTAAGAACCAGGCAACAGTCTACAATATAGACTGCCAGAACACTCGCCGAGGTTAAGAACCAGGCTACAGTCTACATTATAGACTGCCAGTACACTCACCGAGGTTAAAAACCAGGCTACAGTCTACATTATGGACTGCCAGAACACTCACCGAGGTTAAGAACTAGGCTACAGTCTACATTATTGACTGCCAGTACACTCACCGAGGTTAAGAACCAGGCTACAGTCTACATTATAGACTGCCAGTACACTCACCGAGGTTAAGAACCAGGCTACAGTCTACATTATAGACTGCCAGTACACTCACCGAGGTTAAGAGCCAGGCTACAGTCTACATTATAGACTGCCAGTACACTCACCGAGGTTAAGAACCAGGCTACAGTCTACATTATAGACTGCCAGTACACTCACCGAGGTTAAGAGCCAGGCTACAGTCTACATTATAGACTGCCAGTACACTCACCGAGGTTAAGAGCCAGGCTACAGTCTATATTATAGACTGCCAGTACACTCACCGAGGTCAAGAACCAAGCTGCAGTCTACATTATAGACTGCCAGTACCTCTGCTCCCTTAGCCTCGATGTATCGATGTTTCTGGCTGTGTGATGGGCTGTGTGTCTCACTGGTGCGACCACCGTTGCGGTGGTTCTCTTGCGTGGACGCGCTTGCCTCTCACAGCGCAGTTGGCAGCGCCGCAGCTTGTGTTACACATAGACATGACATTAACCTGCTAATCCCCCTAATCTCTCTGCCTAATCTCTCCCATCAACACAGTGCTAAATTCCCATTAACACTGCCGTTGTGCGCATATGCGGGGGCGATACTCTTATGCGACGACGGAAGCTCATTTCATGCTAATCTCTCTCCCTAATCTCTCCCTCCCTAATCTCCCCCATTAACACAACTGACGTGCTTGCGTGCGGGGATGGAATTCCTTTCCAGCTCAGACCCCGCCTGCTTGCCCTTCGCCACATATAGAACCTCTTGTTGTTGTAACAGCTCTCTCGCTGTGTTTCTTCCTGGTTCACCAGTTCCACTGATGGATTATTTTTTCCGCCTGAGGACGACTGCTTGTGTTGCGATCGAAACGTCGTGATATATTTGGAGTTTACGTGTTCCCCCCCGTGGTCGCGTGGACTTTTCTCCAATGTTTTCCCTTCATGCGTTTCGAGTATTTGGCTGCTATAGATTTCCACACGATAAGCCACATTCGTTGAGCTATCATTTGTGGCCAGGTCACTTCTGAAAAAGAGCCGTATAGCTCAGTGGGCCTTACCTGGTAAAATAAAAAAAGGTTTAGTTTAGACTGAGGTGTTCTTAAAGAGATATGAACATCGTAATCGGCCCAAAGTAATACAATGTTCCCACCCCTGTGTATTTAGGACATCAACTATATTACAGGCTCTACTGTATTAGAGATGCCACCATACATAGTCAACGGGCAGCACATTTTTTAATTGCAACGCCCGTGCACTTTATTACTATTTTGACTCCTCAAATAGCGTGCATGGTGTGATGCCCTTGTCCCAAACACTAAATTCGCCAGGATGTTTGATTTTCAAGCTCAGTTGCGTGATATTGGTCCATATTTTGTTACGTCCCGAAGGTGGCAACGCCTGTGTCGCGTTTGATTGCGGCGCATGAAGACATGGTGACGATCATTCTCGCACGAATAACAATGGCCTGGACGTCCAGCACCGCTCCGTTCTGTGTATTCTTACGGGATAAAATAACAATGGGACATAGAATGTCAATGGCCGTATTTTATGTTTATCACGTCAGCGTTTATTTGTTCATTAACAGTAAACAATATCCAGGATACAGAGCTTAAGGGAAATGTGTGTGTTTGGTATAATTATAACTTATTCATAAATACAGCATATCTCCAAGCGTGAACATTATGACATACAAGCAGCGTGCTCCTCCCAACCACAGCCATGCCTCGGTATATCAGAGCTGGGGCTACAGAGGCTGTACATATCGAGGTCAGGGTCTCGGGTAGATTTTCGTTTGGTGCCTAAAGGCCACTTATTTAAAATGCATCAGAATGGCCGAGGATAAAACATGCAGGTTGACTGACCAAATCCCTTGGGATGTGGCCGATATCATCAGATTTTGGAAGCTAAGTAGGGTTCAGCTTGCTTAGTACTTGGATGGGAAACTACCTGGGAAACCAGTTGTTGGAGGACGAGTTGGCCAGGTGATTGCCAGTACAGCAATAGATTATTACCTATACCTGTGCAGAACGTGGAGTGTTACCCCATCATATGTATGGGTTTTCTCCAGGTCCTCTGGTTTCCTTCCCACATGAAGCGAAATACTAATTCGTGGGATTGGCAAAACATTCCAATGCAGGGCCTTCCTTAAAAAAATAGTCTTGAGACTCAGTGAGGCATTCTTGGCTAGGGAACGCTAATTATTATTATTGTGTTACAATACTGGTGTTATTGTTATACCTGTGCAGGTTTAGAAACATCAACATACTGTATGTTAGTAATATTGTTTTTTTTAATGGACGGTATGTCACCATGCATAATTATATACGTATGCTTCAGTAATAATAGGAAAAACAACACGTTTTAAACGAGTGGAAACCACATATAACTGGAACAACGCAGATAAAACCACAATGAACCCTTCAAAGCGCAAGCTGCTAACAGCTGTGGATGCCGTACGTGCCTATGAGGGCTGTATCATTGAGAGCACAATACTGCATTGATTCGGAAGGAGAGGTGGCTCAGTGAGTTAGTGCACTGTGCTCTGAACCCAGTAACCTCAGTTTTATCCCTGCCCAAGACCAATATCAGTGACGAGTGATATCTGTACCCTTTCTGGGTATTTTGGATGGAAACTAATGCCTCTTTCCCACTTGCACATCCAAGCTGTTCCGGAGCTATACCGATCCAGCGCGGCACTGGTTAGGAGAAGTGCGGGTTGCTTTTCCACTGCACGAGCTTAGGCATGCAACACGTGACTTCAAGACGCATGTACGTGGCGTGGCGATGCTGTGTTGTGACTAAATGTGCTTGTGACCCTGTTTTTATACACAGCTTGGCCCTCAGGCAGATTCATACGTCTTGTGAGGTCAGCGTAGCATGGCTCGGTTCCGGCTCGGCTCGGTAAAATACCAGTGGAAAATCATCCGCATCGTGCTGGCCCCTGTGCTAGCACGGCTCTGAGGTGCAAGTGGAAAAGCGGTGTGTGGGCCACTCTTGGCGGGACCCGCTCAACCGGAGGGCAGCAGCTGGCGGCTTGACCTGGAGCTGCCGTTGCTGTAGGTCGATCCGCTGGTGGTGTGAGTGCTGAAGCTGCTGAAGTATCTCCGCGACGTGCTGGAGACGCCCTTGGCCAGCCCTCTGACCTTCCAGCTCAGCTTGCGGCGACACTCCGTGGACATGAAGTAGTAGACGAAGGGGTCCAGGCAGCTGTTGAGACTGCTGAAGCTCAGGCAGAGCATGTAGACGATGTAGAGGTCGCTTGCGCCCTTGTACCGGAGCAGCGCGAAGTGCAGCAGCAGCACAATGTTGCTCGGCGCGAAGCAGAGGACGAACGTGAGGAGGACGAGGGCGGCGAGTTGGATGGAGCGGGTCCGCTTGTTTCCGTCGCCGTCCCTGAGCGTGCGAGCGAGCGAGCGGATGATGAGCGCGTAGCAGGCGACCGTGACGAGGAACGGCACGAGGAAGCAGAGGACGCAAAGCACCGTGTAGTAGTAGAAGAGGAACCCCGGGAGCGTGTCGATCGGGAAGACGTCGTAGCACGTGGTGATGTGCAGGTTGTCGATGTACGCCAGCGGGTTCACCAGCTGCAGCGGCACGGTGGACAGCAGGACGACGACCCACGTCCCCGCGCAGATGCCCATGGCGTAGCGGTTGCGTCTCCACTGCAGCGATTGCATCGGGTAGACGATGGCGAGGCCCCGGTCCACGCTGATGCACGTGAGCAGCAGGATGGAGCAGTACATGTTGCCGTAGAAGGAGGTGAGGAAGACGTGGCACGCGATCTTACCGAACGGCCAGTCATTCCCTCTGAGGTGGTAGGTGATCTTCAAGGGCAGCAAGAGGATGAACAAGAGGTCGGCCACGGCCAGGTTGATCATGTATATCGTGGACGGTTTCTTGGGTTTGACGCGGAAGCACAGCACCCACAGGGCCAGCGCGTTGGAAGGGAGGCCCACCACAAACACCAGGATGTAAATGGTGGGCAGAAGGACCGTGGTGATGGAGCCAGATAGTTGCTCTTCGACTTCATGGCTCACCTCCAGCCATGCGGAGCCCTCGAGGCGGGCCTTCTCCTGCGACTGCTGGTCGCGCAGCACGCTATTGATGTCGAAGTCTTCGCCGTTCTGCGAACCGTTGTGTCCCACCTGCTTGTACGTGCCTCCGAATGTCCTTAGGAAAATGGTGTCGTTTCCATACATCTCCCGACCGTCGGTCATGTGGTCGCCTGCAAATACGAAGAGAAAGATCATGCGGTGGTTCAGCGCGCTGCGCTACGAACCCAGAAACCTGAGTTTGATTCTCAGCTGCGGCTAACGTCAGTGGTGGGTGATATTCGAATCGGTCCTGGTTCCTTCCACATCTTCACCAACCCGCACTCACCAGCATGGTGAGCTATGGTCAAATTAACTACACGATGGCATTTCATACTAATACAACTTTATTTAGCGCTTTTGTCAATCCACTGCTGGATAGAGGCCTCCTCATGCCGTGTCGGCCATGAGGTTTGTTGGATCCTACTTCACCACGCTGGTCCTTGTGAGTTGAAGCGGGCAGGCCTACATGCCGTTCGCTCTGAATTACATGTACATGACGTGTCATTTAAATAAAATGTCGTTACATTTGTAACTTGTAAATTTATATTAAAATTAGACACCCACAAGTAATCGGTCATTTCTATATAAATGACACAACAAAATGAATTGGTCATTTGTATCTACATTAAATTGTTCCTGGAATTTGTGGTTTTAATGTATTTTCGCCAACTCTATATGGAGATAGCCCATGACCGGTTCAGCCATCACTTACCACTGACATTAGCCAAGGCTGGGAATCGAACACGGGTCTTTGGGTCCGTAACAGAGTATTTAAACGACCCACTAAAGCCGCTGCTCCCCACGACAGTATTTAACCAATTTAAATCGCATCTTTTGCAATGGAGTTAAATTTAGAAAGTGAATTCCAACAGCGGCATTGGCCATATATTCCGTGCGTTCGAACCACTCACCGCTCTGTGCGCCCACCGTCACCAACAGCAAGGCAGCAAGCATAGGCGCGCATCTCCGATCCATGTCTCTGCAGCTCACGGCGTGACTCCTGAAAGTCACAAGAGGGTTCTGGCCGGCCGGAAGCGTGTCTGCAGCTTTTTATTCTTGCCCGGGGTGGGGTGGTGACTGAGGAGGAGGAGGAAGGCGAGCGAGTGGGAAAGTAGCAGGAACGTCCGATATGGACCTTAGAGGTGGACAGAAACTGGATGGAGCCGGTCTGCGTATAGTTGTATCCTGTTGGAGCCAGCCAGCTTATTGTTTTACACTATCACCGCAGGCTCAAGTAGGCATCGGAACCATCAAGGGGATGGAAGGAACGGGAATGGATCGTTAGTGTACATCGGGATTAACAATCCTATCCGAGGGCCACTGTATTTGAGATAGCCATGCAAAAACTACATTGAATACATTTCTTGTAAAATCTTGTAATCGCCAGCATCATCTTGTTACGTAAAGAAAATGCCAGTATGCCACATCTATAACAGAATGAGACACACATTCGCATCGTGTGATTGTTAATTGACCATATGTTGTACTGTTTTCATGACGCACGCCTTTCTCGAAAACGGGACTTTTATAAACAAACACATCCTGTTTGGCTAAGACACATCACGCCGGTCATTTTGTTCCACTGCAAAATTGATTGTTTAGCTTGTTGGCAGTATGTGTTGAGGTTTCGTTTAAAATCTAGTTGTTTTTATTTTCCTCTTGTTAGATTGCACATTCCCTGGCTGCAATGTCCTGTAGCTTCTGCCACTGCTGACGGTCTTTGGCTGTGGTTGTACTTGTAGAAGGTCCAAAAAGCACAGCAACTTTGCTGAATAGATTAATCTACCAGCGTGGGAATTGTTCCCTTATATGTTTAGCAGGTAAAACAGAGGTTGGAAATAAGCACAACATTGGGTTGATGCCACAGAGAACTGAACTAAATCATGAAAAGCAGCATACCAGTGTGCATAAGAATGACGTTTTTCATCAGCGTATATCACCTGCTACGACGCATGAATCAGAAACACGGACATTGACAAGAAAATTGGAACAAATGTTGAACATTTTTAAATGAATCGTGGAGTGGGTGCCAGCTTGTAGTTTACACTGAGAGACGAAACGAGAAGCACTTCGATGGGAAAACGCCAAGTTAGAGACACCACGAGTTAGAGACACCACGAGTTAGAGACACCACGAGTTAGAGACACCACAAGTTAGACACACCACAAGTTAGAGACACCACAAGTTAGAGACACCACAAGTTAGAGACGCCACGAGTTAGAGACGCCACAAGTTAGAGACACCAATTTAGAGACACCAAGTTAGAGACACCACAAGTTAGAGACACCACAAGTTAGAGACACCACAAGTTAGAGACACCACAAGTTAGAGACGCCACAAGTTAGAGACACCACAAGTTAGAGACACCACGAGTTAGAGACACCACAAGTTAGAGACACCAAGTTAGAGACACCACGAGTTAGAGACACCACAAGTTAGAGACACCACGAGTTAGAGACACCACAAGTTAGAGACACCACGAGTTAGAGACACCAAGTTAGAGACACCAAGTTAGAGACACCAAGTTAGAGACACCGCAAGTTAGAGAAACCACAAGTTAGAGACACCACAAGTTAGAGACACCACAAGTTTGAGACACCACGAGTTAGAGACACCACGAGTTAGAGACACCAAGTTAGAGACACCACGAGTTAGAGACACCACAAGTTACAGACGTCACAAGTTACAGACACCACAAGTTAGAGACACCACAAGTTAGAGACACCACAAGTTAGAGACACCACGAGTTAGAGACACCACAAGTTAGAGACACCACGAGTTAGAGACACCACAAGTTAGAGACACCACGAGTTAGAGACACCACAAGTTAGAGACACCACGAGTTAGAGACACCAAGTTAGAGACACCAAGTTAGAGACACCAAGTTAGAGACACCGCAAGTTAGAGAAACCACAAGTTAGAGACACCACAAGTTAGAGACACCACAAGTTTGAGACACCACGAGTTAGAGACACCACGAGTTAGAGACACCAAGTTAGAGACACCACGAGTTAGAGACACCACAAGTTACAGACGTCACAAGTTACAGACACCACAAGTTAGAGACACCACGAGTTAGAGACACCAAGTTAGAGACACCACAAGTTAGAGACACCACGAGTTAGAGACACCACAAGTTACAGACACCACAAGTTAGAGACACCAAGTTAGAGACACCACAAGTTAGAGACACCAAGTTAGAGACACCACAAGTTAGAGACACCACGAGTTAGAGACACCACGAGTTAGAGACACCACGAGTTAGAGACACCAAGTTAGAGACACCACGAGTTAGAGACACCACAAGTTACAGACGTCACAAGTTACAGACACCACAAGTTAGAGACACCACGAGTTAGAGACACCAAGTTAGAGACACCACAAGTTAGAGACACCACGAGTTAGAGACACCACAAGTTACAGACACCACAAGTTAGAGACACCAAGTTAGAGACACCACAAGTTACAGACACCACGAGTTACAGACACCACAAGTTAGAGACACCACAAGTTAGAGACGCCACAAGTTAGAGACACCACAAGTTAGAGACACCAAGTTAGAGACACCATAATTTAGAGACACCACAAGTTAGAGACACCACAAGTTACAGACACCAAGTTAGAGACACCACAAGTTAGAGACACCACAAGTTAGAGACACCACAAGTTACAGACACCACAAGTTAGAGACACCACAAGTTAGAGACACCAAGTTAGAGACACCAAGTTAGAGACACCATAATTTAGAGACACCACAAGTTAGAGACACCACAAGTTACAGACACCACAAGTTAGAGACACCACAAGTTACAGACACCACGAGTTAGAGACACCACAAGTTAGAGACACCACAAGTTAGAGACACCAAGTTAGAGACACCATAATTTAGAGACACCACAAGTTAGAGACACCACAAGTTACAGACACCACGAGTTAGAGACACCACAAGTTAGAGACACCACAAGTTACAGACACCACAAGTTAGAGACACCACAAGTTAGAGACACCATAATTTAGAGACACCACAAGTTAGAGACACCACAAGTTACAGACACCACAAGTTAGAGACACCATAATTTAGAGACACCACAAGTTAGAGACACCACAAGTTAGAGACGTCACAAGTTACAGGCGCCACAAGTTACAGACGCCACTTTATCCCGCACGTAGCATGGCTCGGTTCCGACTCGCACGGTTGGCTACGTACGGCGCGAAAGAAGTGCAACGCGCCGTCATACACATTGGACTTTTTTAAAGGAAAGAAAAGTAAAAGTGGGCTTTGACAATCCGCGCCACCCGCAGGTATGATGGCCGGTGGTGGTGGTGGTGGCCACCCAGTGGCAGCTGAAGGAGGGAGCATGCGCGGGAGGAATGCCTCCAATGGTGGCGATGGAGTGATTAAATTAGCTCATGTGCAGGAGCTAGCCTCATTGATGCATTGCTTTACCAGCTTGTGGAGGCCTTCATCGAGCAGTGGATAGATCATGGCCGACGATGATAATTAGTTGATGCCATATGTTGTGAATGTTATTGGCAAAAATATTGTTTGATTGCTCAAGAATATGGAATTTTGAGACTGAAATGAGAGCATCTGCAACATATATGCGAATAATCAATGTCTCTACCTTAAAATACACCATTAAGGTTTTAAAGTTACGCTTTGCTCAGCCTTCACTGGATCAAAATTTGTTTTTTTGAATGCCAATTTGCCAACCGATTCCCATTGACAGTCGCTAAGTGTTCCTTGGTTCTTTCGGTAAAGTCACGTAGAATGAGAATAAAATAATAAATTGATAAAATAAAATAACACAATAATATTCTCACGACGTTTCGGCCACAACACAAGCGGCCTTCATCAGGTGAAGGGACGAGACTGTCTGGTAGGACAGCGCTGGAGTGAAAGAGCCACATTCAGATCACGGCCTTTAAGCTGTGTGAGAGGAACAAAGCGCCTTGACAAAGGAATTAGCATATAATTTAGCATTGAAATGGCTGAATGATTAGCTTGTGACTGGTCACAGAAAGAGCTATGTTAAAAGTTAAAGCATACACATCCGCAGAGGCACCCATTGTTAAAGGAATTAGCATAGAATTTAGCATACACATCCGCAGAGGCACCCCTTGACAATGGAATTAGCATAGAATTTAGCATTGAAATAGCAGAGTGATTAGCTTGTAACTGCTCACAGAAATAGCTACGTTAAAGTCAAAGCATACACATTCACCGAGGCACTTAGTACAAATCAAACAGGAGAATTTAGCATTGAAATAACTAGGCGAATTTAGCATTGAAATAACTGAGTGATTAGCTAGTGACTGGTCACAGAAATGACTACACATCTGAGCTATTCACAGTACTATATAGTGAACCAATAAAAAACTAAAATATAAATTACCTTAATGTTATCAATACACTCTATATTCTCTATATTCTCTAGCTATCTCTAGCTATCTAGCTATCCGTGGTGCTATAGCATTGTGATATATAACGACTTATTGTTGGTGGCTTAGCTGATTGGAGAATATAGAGTTTATTGATAACATTAAGGTAATTTATATTTTAGTTTTTTATTGGTTCACTATATAGTACTGTGAATAGCTCAGATGTGTAGTCATTTCTGTGACCAGTCACTAGCTAATCACTCAGTTATTTCAATGCTAAATTCGCCTAGTTATTTCAATGCTAAATTCTCCTGTTTGATTTGTACTAAGTGCCTCGGTGAATGTGTATGCTCTGACTTTAACGTAGCTATTTCTGTGAGCAGTTACAAGCTAATCACTCTGCTATTTCAATGCTAAATTCTATGCTAATTCCATTGTCAAGGGGAGCCTCTGCGGATGTGTATGCCTTAACTTAGCTATTTCAATGCTAAATTCTATGCTAATTCCTTTAACAATGGGTGCCTCTGCGGATGTGTATGCTTTAACTTTTAACATAGCTATTTCTGTGACCAGTCACAAGCTAATCATTCAGCCATTTCAATGCTAATTTATATGCTAGTTCCTTTGTCAAGGCGCTTTGTTCCTCTCACACGGCTTAAAGGCCGTGATCTGAACGTGGCTCTTTCACTCCAGCGCTGTCCTACCGGACAGTCTCGTACCTTCACCTGATGAAGGCCGCTTGTGTTGTGGCCGAAACGTCGTGAGAATATTATTGTGTTATTTTATTTTATCAATTTATTATTTTATTCTCATTCTACGTGACTTTACCGAAAGAACCAAAGAAGATGAATCATTGCAGTCACGAAAGCTTTAAATCGAAATTTAGTCGCTAAGTGGTCTCTTACCACCCAATTAATTAACTTGTGCTAACTTATTCCAAGAAGCTCTCAACAAAGCTACGTAATTACATTTAGTAACATGAACAGTAAACGCATGTTCAAGGTGCAATAGGTAGAATACTGAATCCCATTATCAGATTACAAAAAAACATTAAATCACTACATGAAGTCAATTCATTGAGACCGTTGAACCAAAATCATGCTCAAATTATATCACTCCAACAGATACGGCACGAGCATTGTATAGTCAAAACAACGCTTGGTTGCCGAGGTAAGGTCCAAACAAAACAATAATATCTGGCACTGTGTGCCGAGGCCCTTAAAGCAGCGGTCGACTGACAAAAGGGGCATTGCATGCACGCGGACGAATGCGGCCCAAGCTCTTCGTCACGAAGCGAAGCGTGGCTGAAGTCGCTCTGCTGCAACCCATTGTCCATTGAACGCGATGCACATGACCCGCCCTCGTGCAGCTTAAACATGGCACGCGCGTTTTGTATTCACGGTGGAGCGGACACGCGTTTAGCAGACGCCGCCCGTTTAATCCGGCGCGCTGCTCTCACGATAAGGACGGGGGGCGGTGGTGTTGGTGGGGGGTGGGGTGACCGGTCTGTGGGGATCGAGATAAGACATCCCCCTTCCCACTGGGACCACAAGGGCCCGACCCCCTGGCTCATCCCACCCTGCTCGCGGGCGATAGCGCACGGCGAGCCTGCTGGCTCATGTGCGTGCCTGCGTGCGTGCTTGCGTGCGAGCGTGCGTGCGTGTGTGTGTCCCCAAGATTATTCAACTTTGTACCCGACTCATATGGCTGGCCAGATATGTTGTTTTTTTTATTTATTCCGCGGTTTGTGTATGTTTTACGCTTGTTGCGTAATTGAGCATGCATCATTATGGGCACGGACGTCTGACGAATTCCAAACTCGCATCCGTCTGGTGCTTAGACTTTGTGGAAACATTTTGTGCAGCATTCCTGCATGGCTGTTACTCAACTTGACGTGTAACGGCCATGTAGGGCCAGGCGCGGAGCGTGTGCTTTCCCAAAAA